GGTTGAGCAGGTTCCTAAGGAATGAAACCGGATTACTAACTTTGGAATTACTTAGCATAACCAAATACAGCCATTCACCCACCTACTACACTCATTAAGTATAGTGAAAATGATAAGTAATAAATTACTTCCTTGCCAAAAATCAAAAATTATCTAAAAATAACTCCTGAGATTGAGTTGTTTAACCTTTAACACTGCATTATTCACTACTTTCCTTTCCACTGTGTTGTTTTCCAAGGCTGTACTACTTAATTTCAGTCATGGTCATTTGCTGTTGCCATAGCAGGATATGACAACACAATGGCAAAATTCAAACATGCTGTTATTCATTCCTCTAAGTCACTTGCAGTGGCAGGATAAATTTTTGCTTTGCAAGCAAAATCATCTCCGGTATATTAATGGTTAAATATAGATCTTTCTATCAGATTGGTGTTTTTCGAGACAGAATAATTTTGAAGAATAGACTTTCAAAAGAAAAAGGAATTTGACCAAACTTGTGTGATTTGTTTACATAGAAAGATATTCATGTTGGTCTTATAAAAAGAATAGTTTTTGAGAAATAGGTTATCAAAATCCAGTCAAGTGACTAACTGCTCATGTACTTTCTGGGACAAAGGATACCCTTAAGAGCAAGAATTAATGGTCAAATCATGCTAATGCATCACTGGTGACAAACCAGCAGGTTGCATTCTGTATATATGGGTGCACAGCATACTTTGGAAGAGTCTGTCAAAGCTGCTAGAAAGATCAGATGGGAGAGAGTTTGCTAAAGCTGCTAGAGAGAAGTGATGTGTGCTAAATGTAAGTGAATGAATGAATCAAAGTTCAGGCCACTAAATAGCACTTTCAATCATAATAATTATGGAAAGGAAGATACTAGTTAAAAGATTTATAGAACCACTAATTAAAATAAACTTTTTTCTATTCATAATTTTTAAAGTATATGCATACACAAGCAATAAAGAGCTGATTAAATTTCAAAGCAACTTTTAAGACTTCCCTAACATTGCCAAAAAGATTGAACTGTGTACATTTTTATAGAAATATTGATAAACAATTTCTCTTGGGAATGATATTTTATTATCTTTTATTTTATTGCCAATGTTTTTGCAGATTATAGATTCTTCCATAAGTTTTATTTTTTTAGTTGGTTTGTTCATAAAGAAAATTTTCTTAAATCATTAATGAAATTGTAGCGGAACTGAAAGGCAGCAGTCAGTGAGTTCTGCTGAACTGACTACAGTTCGCCGTTCTAAGAGGCAATGAGTGGCATGTGTAATATGTAAGCAGAATAGTGGACGCTTATGCAAATGTAGCAACAGTCCCTGGCAAAATGAAATATTGGACGAACAAGGAAAGAAAAGAATGGCCTACCTTGGAAACATCCATGAATCTGTGCGTAATGTAAAGTCCGGTTGCTTGACGGCGAAAAAAGAATCAAAATGGCGGCGTCCATGTTTTATAACAGGTAGTCTCGGACGACTAACGCGAAATCTCGTTGGCTAGTGATTCGTATGTAAATTATGGTCGGTCTTCAGCTGTATAAAGCGAGACATCTTTTGGGAGAGACAGAGGCGTTGTTGTTGGCGAGAAGCAAAGCTGGATGTGTGACCCAATTTTGCCGTCTGTACATGGCCTGTTGGATTGTTATGTCGGACAGTCGTTGAACTGGATTTTGGCTACAAATGTTGTGGTTGAAAGACGAATCTGTTGCAGACTTATTCCTACTGGAAATTGACACTCATTATTTGTTTTCTTTTGCTTTTTCTTTATCAACACAGAAATTATTTCTTTTGGTCACTTAATAATTAAAATTAAAATCTAATACAACTTTGCTTATTAATCTACAAAGAGGATGTACTACTGTTGAGCTTTGCTCATTTGCATATGCCCCAAGTTCTATGTCTCGGACATCCAAAGTTCATTACTTATTCCTTTCTGATTAATGGTTCCCATAAGCTCTTAATGCCTATGCTTGGTCTGCTGATTGAGTTATCTAAGCATAATATAATCAATCTTTTTATTTGTAACTGCTGCTGCTGCTGTTCTTTTCACTTCATAAAGTTTCCTGTATTCCTCTCTCCCATCAAGTATGGTGTCAACTTATAACTTTGCAATATTCCTCAAATCTTATTTTTTGATGGCAGCTGGTCTCACTCTTGTACTCTCTGCCACAGTGGTATGGAATATTCTATATACAATTCTTGTAGAAATCTGTGTAATATAGACTACTTTTATCTGTGTAGTTATCTCTGTAATATGTGACCATTTTTGATAACTGTTTTTTATGGCCTGCAAATTCCTCAACATTCACTTTTTGACCATTGTTGACATTCTGGAATGGATGAAGGTCCTTAGCATTGAGGTTATGCTATTAAAGATACAGCTACACTGATCGGGACACATCTTCAGAATGAACAACCAAAGCCTAATCAATATTATATGATGAATTCTCCACTGGAAACCATGACAGTGGGATGCCCAAAAAGAAATATAAAGACTGAGAAAAACACACAGCTCATGTCACATAAATCATCACAAGTTGTTTGACCTAGCTGGAAACTGGGAGACCTGGTGACTCATTGTCCCTTGAACTGTTTATTCCTCTGAGAATGAACACAGAACTGACTTGATGGATAAAGAGGAAAAACCATATCATCTGTGTCACTGTAGCAACAACCCTGAACCAATCCTTCCCCTATAGTCACTGCAAATGGATTTGCCTGTCCTTAATTCAACTGATCAGGCACCATCAATCCTGCAAGAGACATATACAGACCCTTTCCTACATCTTCATTTGCAAAACCAAGTTAAGAAGAAGTTTAACTGAAATTATTAAGATATTATATTTTAGTAACCCTCATTTCAATTTTCAAACATTTTCTTGAATTTCATTGGTTGCTAAATAAAAATAAGCTTCGAGAAATTTCCATAACAAAACAGTCAAAATTTGTGCAAAAATAGGCTCAAGTGACATAATAAAATCTTTCTCAAGTTCATCCCTAATGTTTCAAGAAATTGGCTAAAAAATAAAAAGTACAACATTTGCCCACGCATTTCTCAGAAAAATTCGCAACAAGCTACCAAGCCACTGGAGCCAATTTTGTTGTTAAAAAAACTATAAATAGAAACAGCAAACAAATTTTTGTCGCATTTTGAGACTCACACACGCAAAGATTACACGGGAATTATGTGTCAAAATTGCCGCCAAAGAAACAAAACTTTCTTTATGAGAGATTAGGAAAATTCATACAACAAACTTTTTCACTTAATATCTTTCATAGAAAAATCTTTTGTCTAAGTTAAATTCAACCTTTCAATGAAAGGTAGACAACTTTTTAGACATTGAGCATTTCTGAAACAGCAAAGAACTTTTCCTCTATACTTTTGCACACATCATTACAAACAAAGAAATTGTAAATTGTGTATATAAAATTTAATGTTGTTTCAAACATGTATTTTTTGTCTTGATTGACTATCATTATCATTTGGCCATTTCTTATAATTTATGTTTGTGGATATTGCATATTTTATTTGCAGCACAATCTTAAATATTCACACATCCTTCTTAGATCCACTACAATATCTCTAAGTGGATACCGACTCAAAATAAAATTTAATTAACTCATGACTCAGAGAGAAAGATAAAAATTACGCAACATTTAAAACATATCACAATTATTAATCTGAAAAGTTTCAGCTTTTAACCACCTATAGTTCTTAAGTTATTAGAAATGTTTTACTCTTCAAGTAACACACGTTAGAGCTAAAAATTCTTTTGTAAAATATTTGCACGTATTTTTGTGTTCACTGCTATATCTGAATGCCATATATAAATAAAGGTGCAAGTAACCAGTCTGAGTAGTAAGCAGAGCCATTAATAAATCTTCCTGTTATACAAAAACTGTCTTGTAAAAAGAAAATGGACTTAAAAAAAAACAATTTTTTAAAATCACCTCAACTATTTTTGGATGATAAAAGTTTGTATTTGTTCTTCATCTTCTTTTCCTTTCTTTGTGGATGAGTTGAATATTTTTGCAAGGCCATATTTTCACCCCCTCTACCTTTCACAATTCTATCTTCACTGTTAGTCATTGCTTGTACCATTATATGACAAAAACAAAATACACTTTTAGTTTAGGCAGTGGATTGTTCATGTATTCATTTACTTTTATCTCTGTCTCTAATTATGGTATACCAGGGACAACATTTTGCTCAAGTAATGGGAGAGAGTGCAGGAACAGTTGAATCTATACTTTTCCAGAAGTATGAATGTGCCGAAAGCAATCCCAAAATGTCTGTAATATTTTGGTAAGAGTTATAGCCCTTAGCAATTTATTTAATTTATTTTTATGACTCGCATGAAAACTACCACCGCCTCATCCTCCTACTACAACTGATGATGATGATGATGATGATGATGAGAAGAAGAAGAAAGTACTTAAAATATTTTAGTTGGCTAAATTCTAGTTGCAATGATGTTTGTAAAGAAAAAAATCTTAGAACTTGAAGTTGTTGCAGACACGCAATGTGACATGCAGCTTTATCAAATTTATTTTTTATTTATTTTGTTATAAATTACTGAAATTACGTATTTCGTGCAGAATGGATGGGTAAGTATTTATTTATAGATCATAATCTTTGAGAATAAATTTTTATTTCAATTTCCCCATTCCAATTTCAAAATCTAAAAAAAAAACAAACAGTTAGTGAAGTAACCAGATCGTCTTCAATTTTTATTTCATAACTAAGAAATAAAAAATATGAACAAAATTTTTTAGTCCTAAAAATAAGATTGCTTTATGCGTGAATTAATTAGCATTTGCTGAAAGAGAAATAAAAAAATATACAGTAGTATACTTTGTTGCATAAAAGTGTATCGCGTTGCCATAGAAATTTTAAGCAACCGGAAGTCGTTCAACCGGAAGTCGGTTGTCTTAAGAAATTTTTCATTAATCACGCTTCCGTTTGCTGAGAGTAGACAAGCAAGCTCATCCAAAATGGTAACTAATTTTTCTCAATCACTTTCATCTTATTTAAATTGCTGTATATTTTACATCTTGATGATCATCAATTGTCAGTAGTTATCGTATTTATGTTAAAACGGTTTTATTTTCATTAAAAAACTGCCCTTTTTATCTTTTTTTAATGATAGTTATCGAGAAGCTTCGAAAGGATAAGCAAGTTATCGCTTTATGCAATCATCGATTTGTAAATTCTATTATATAAATTTTTATTTGCCACTTTTGTCTTTATATTGAATACTACCTTATCAATAATCATATCAATTTAAAATCATTTTTTTTTTGTAAATGTTTTCTTGTTTGAATTATTCCGGGTTTAAAAAAAAAATGCAAGTCACTGACATCATTTCAGCATTTGAAAATAATTATTTTTGCTTTGTTAAAATATTAAAATTTTGTTAAAGATGTTTATAAAAATATATATTAATAAATAAAGAATTAGTTTCGTATTATTAACTAGTCCTTTTTTTTCTGAAAAGGAAGATATTCATTTTATTACTAGTCCAACCACGTGGATTTTTTTTTCATTAGGTTTTCTTTTTTGTCTAACTTCATTGAGAAAAAAACAATTTCTCTTTCTTTTATTTTATTGAAGAAATATATTAAATTCTTGCATTGATTTAATCCAAAATTGCTTATACTAAATTTATCTCTCAAATTGAAATGCTGACATTTTGTTATAGACTCTAGTCTAATTTATTCGAACTGGTCTCATTTTGGCTGTTACAGTCACAAGTCTTTGGCCATTCAATTCTTTGGCTTTTCTTGTCACATTCGATAAAGTTCTCGAAATTTGGAATTATTTAATTCTACAGTGGCAGATTGTTTTAATTCCACTGTCTATTCTAAGTGATTAAATTTAAATCTGTCCTTTTCTTATTGTTAATTCATTCTTCCGATGCAGCTCTTGCTCGTTGTAACTGGCAGTTTAGATTTCCTTGTCTGATTCAGATAATGAACAGAACAAATAAACAAAATATATTAGAAAATATTCCCCAAAACGAACAGCAGACTGAAGAATGTCGGAGAATATAACAGTCGAAACATTGTAACTATAAAAGAAACAATCAAGAAGATAGATTCAAATACATCTGTCAGTGGAAATCCAAAAATTAACATTTTGTTTTGTCGTCTTTTCTTTTTTTTTCTAATTTTGTCAGTTAACTCCTTATGTCATCTGTTGTCATTTTTCTTGCTTTTTTACTGCTTTTTCTCCCAGTTATGAGCCAGCATATACTTTAGTGTTAGAAAATCACTGATATAAAAATTCAGTAAAAAAGGATAATGATACATGATGAAAAAAAAATGCCCGAAACACTTCTCAATTTTCATCGTCGGTGTGTCGATTTCTATAAATATGGACATCCATCCATACACAAAGATAGGTAGGATTAAAAAAATTTCTAAAAAAAGAGCATACCATGATGAAAAATTCCCCAAAAACTTGATAAAAACAAAATTTTATCGTCAAAATGTTTTAGAGAAAGACCAAAGTAATTTTTTATTTTATTAATTTTTTTAATACTTACTAGTACGCTCGAAATTTTGGTTAAAAATCTTGGAAAATTTTTTTTTTTTTTTTCAAACAATTGTCAGATTTTAATTAAATTTTCAGGTCTTATTCATAAATGAATTAATTTTTTTTTTCGTCTGTTAACCCCACGTTTAATTTCGAGAAATTCCGTCTTTAGATAAAGATAAAAGGAATCCTTGGAGAATTTAAATCGTTTTGTTTTTGTCTTTTGTCAAACAAAAATATCTCTTATTGAAAATCTGCTCTAAATCGTAAAATAAAAAATGCAATAAAACTCTGTAATTATTAGAAAATTTTAATTGCTTTTATAAAAATAGGACAGTTAATTCTTTTTTTTTTCTATGAATAATGAATTTTTACAATTTTTTTTTTTTTTTTTTTTTTTTAATAGATTTATGTTTTAAATCTAAAAATCTGTATTAATTTCAATCATTTAGATATTATTAAGTGAAAACTATATTTACTAATGATAAATGGAAAGACTGAATACAAATTATCAAACATTTTTAAAAGAATTTTGGATTTTTTTTATATGAGTATAATATAAATGTGCTGATTTTTTTACCATACCGAAAATAAGAGTAATATAGTAAATTTTAAGCCAAAATTTCTAAAATTGAATAAGACATTCAATGACAGAATATTTTCTTAAATTTTTAAGATTATTGAGTACTTTTATATATAATAAAAAGGTACTCAGATCGTTTTCTGCATGATTTTATCTGAAAAACTTTAAATCAGCTAATTTTCTACAATGTTTCAGAAAAGTATGTTTTATTTTTGAAATATTTTATGTTGAAGCAGAAAAAAATATGATAAAATTTGAGAGTTTTTGTGGTTGGTGTTTTGTGGGTAATTACCAATCGACAGCTTTACCTCTATTGATGATCTTTATTAATATGCATTATTAAAAGGGAAAATCGGTAAATCTTCATTTACTTCCAAACAATTGTTCTTATGACAAGCAACAACTTGGTCAAATTGAAAGCCTTTTAGACTAAAGTTGATTTGGTTGTGGCATGCATTACTTTGCAAATGGAATAGAATCATCAAGGAGCATTTGGTAAAAAAAAAAAAATTTTTTTTTTTTTTTTTTTTTTTCTTAGGTTTCAATGTTTATTATAATTAATAATTTAAATTTTCTTTGCATCAGCAACAGTAGAAATTTACATTCTATTGGGTGTTTTATTTTTTCCTGAATTTAAGATGTGTACTAAGTTTTTTGTTTATTTTTAATAACAAACTCTGTTTGGATTTTGTTTTTAATATATTTCATCTTACATTCCAGCAAGCTCCAATTATTTTATTAAAAGAGGGCACCGATTCCTCACAAGGGAAGCAGCAAGTCCTCAGTAATATTATGGCTTGCCAGGTTGTAGCTGATGCTGTCCGAACAACATTGGGTCCCCGTGGGATGGATAAACTTCTCGTTGATAATAATGGTAATTAGGTTTGTTTTTTTGTTTTTTTCTTGCTCTACATTTCAAAAACATTATTTTTTTTTTAAATTTATTTGAAGCAAACACCAATTTTATCAATGTCTAAAATTCCAGTTAGCCTATTTTCTATATATTTATTTTTAATATTTTGAGTTAATTTGTAAGAAAGTAGTTGAAAGTTTGTATCATTTATTAGTAATTTAAGACAGTTGATCTGAAGATTGCTAGTTTGTGAAAAGCCAAGGCATATTAGCATTTATGTTGAACTTGAAGTAAATCATCACATTTTGAAAATAGAATTGCTGTTTTTAATTTTAAGTGAGCATGGTTGTTATGTGAATACTTTGGTTATAGTGAATTAATCAAATATATTAAAATTATCTCTAGAAAAATATTTACCAAAACTTATTGGGAAGTAAAGGTATAAAGACTTCATTTACTTAGAACTTACAATTCTCATTAATTTAAAAAAAAATGTAAAGCTATAACCATTGTCTTCAAGTGCATTTCCATTTTAATAAGTTATTTCAAAACTGAGAAAATGATTAAGAATAAAATTTAAATCTTTTAGATAAGTCTTTAAAAAAAATATATCTGTTAATGATGTATATTTTGAATGCTGTATATTGTCTACAATGAGAAGCTTGTTATTAACTATCAGTTGATAAAAATTCAAACTTAGTTTATGACATTCATTGTACCAATATACAATGTAAGTAGTTTTAAGGTTGGATGCTTAATCCATAGCCAAGTCAACTGCCCCTCTGTTTGGATAGATTGTGCAGTGTTACAGCTGTGGGAAAGTAAATGTGATGCTAATCTTTGGTGCTGTTTTAGTCCCATAAAGGCATCACAATTGTTTCTGGAGAGTTGGTCTCCCAATGTAAACCTAGGAGGCCTTAGTATTAGAAACCTACAAAATTTCCTTGTGCTACAGAATATTAGCCAAAAAAAGTATTTCTATATCTTACTTCTGAAGAGATAGAAAAAACATTTTTTTTCTTTTTTCCTCTATTTTGATAGTGCTATATTTATTTAAATGTATTTTGACACAAGTCCACCACCCTGCTCCTTGCTTGATTTTTCTTTTTACTTACATCTACATTTATATTTGTTCAAGAGAACCCACCTATACAAATATTCCAGTAATCTTGAATGATTCATACACGTTTAAAACAGTATTATTATTTTTTTTGTTTCATCATTTCACCCCAAGCAAAGTGGGAACACCACTAGTACATGGGGTTACAAAGAGTGAAAATGAGAGAAAAGACTGTATGGGGGTGTGTATTGAGGAAATGATAAGAGATGTTGCATTTAAATTTTTGAAGATCAGAGAAGCAAGTAAGCAGAAGGAGTTCCACTGTTGGGAAGTGCCAGAAAATAAACTGTTGGAGTAGAAGTGCTGGTTACATGTAACTATTTCAACAGTAAAAGAGTGGGACCTAGATGCCAGTCTAGTAGTATTCATGTAGTTGAGGCAACAGAGGGTGGGGAAAGCTTAGAGCAGTTGCCACGAAAATATTTGTGGGAAAGTTGGGGAAGCCACATCGTGTCTGTGAGAAAATGACTGAAGTTGAGATGCCAAGTCGGGATTAATTACATTTCAAATCCTGTTTTGGATTTTGTCAAGAACCTAGAGAGGAACAGCACAGGGACCAAACCAGGCATGGCAACAGTATTCAATGCATGGACAAAGGGTAGATTTTTTAAATGTGCCAGATGGACTCTTCAGAGAAAAACATTCTGAAACAACACAATGAACCAACTTTCCTTGCAGTAAATGCAGCTATTTGTTCAATGTAGTTGTTTCACATCAAGTCACTTTAAAACCTGAGGCCAAGATGGCACAATGAGATGATCTCTAGGGGTCAAGCATCAGCCATGTTGATGGTGGGCAGGGAAGTTTCTCCATGCGGATTAAAAGAGAGCAGTTTAGTTTTGGAGGCATTAAAATTAACAAACCATTTCCTGTTCCACTTAACCATTGATTGGGGGTCCTTTTCAAGAGCAGTTGCCAGGTTAACTTTATCAGCTCTGACAGATTTGCTATTAGGACAGGAGTAGATGGTAGGGTGATAGAGGGGTCAGGAGGTTCTCCAGGGTTCTTTTAGGGGGGGGGCTTCCAACAAGCTGGAAAGCATGGAGCAGCGAGGCAGTAGTTGTAGAGTTTGGAGATAACTGGAGCCAGCTCGGGTGCACATTTCTTTAGGACGACTGCTGATATCCAATCACCTCCACTTTTATTCCTGCTTAATAAAATAAATTTTTAATTTCATATAATTAGAAAAATGGCAGAAGATTGCAAAAATATATAAGCAAAAATTAGACTTTATTTTATAATAGTTCAGCTCCAATGTCCTGATATTTAGCTAATTATTAACTAATTAAGAAAAGCTCTTGTCCTCTTGAAACTTTAACTTGTAAAGTTTTATTATGCAATTGAAACCTGTAGTAATGAGATATTGGCTAAGTTATTAAGAGTTTTCCACAGCCAAGTCAACTGTCCTTCTGTTTGGATAGATTGTGCAGTGTTACAGCTGTGGGAAAGTAAATGTGGTGCCGATCCTTGGTGCTGTTTTAGTTCCATAAAGGCATTGCAATTGTTTCTTGAGAGTTGGTCTCCTGACGTATACTTAGGAGGCCTTAGTATTAGAAACGTACACAATTTATAAAATAAAAAGAAAATGTTTTCACACAAGTTTATTGCAACTAAGATGTTTTGAATTGAATTTTTGCTATTGGAATTTCATTGAAAATTGGTGTCAGTAAATTATTACTTCAGCAATCTTGTTATTTTTATGGTGATTAATTTAACAAATCCTTCTCAAGTGGGCTTTTTTTATATTATTTAAAAGCACGGTATCAAAACATGACTTTTTAAAACTTTCATATTTTTGAATGTCTGCAACCTTAATAAATATTGCTAATCATTGGGAACCTTAATTTAAAATTGCACTTGTTTTTTTTTCCTCTCTCTCTCTCTCTCCCCATTAAAGGTAAAGCTACCATTTCTAATGATGGTGCCACCATTGTGAAATTATTGGATGTTGTTCACCCAGCTGCCAAAATGTTAGTGGATATTGCCAAATCTCAAGATGCTGAGGTAAGGGGAAATAACTACTTTTCAATTTCCATTTTGTTTAAAGCCTATCTTAGTCATCATGTCTGTGTGTGTATTATTAATGAAGTGACAATTTTCCATTTTGTGAAAATTTCATTAAATTCCAGTGTAGTTTTTGGAAAAAATAGAAAATTGTCACCTCATTAATAATTTGTTACATAATTTATAACGGATTTTGTCTTGTTTTAATGACATTTTATGGTGTATCAGGATTTGTGTGATAATCTCTTTTTTTTTTTTTTTTTTTTCTTATGTTTATCATAATTGATAGATATTTTTGTTTGTATCTAAAGAGATGAAAATTGATGTCGTGGAAAAAGAGACTTTAGTTAATGTTTAAAACAAAGTTGATATTAACCAACCATCGTTGGTACTATTTTCCGAATTTACTTATTTATACAATATGAGTTTCAGTTTATATATCCTTAATAAAGCTATCAATAATTGTTTTCAAGGTGTCTGGTGTTATGCAAGCAAATGTGCAACAAACTTTTATTAAATATATCCAGTAGATATAATAGGCACCCCCAAAAATTTAAAAACACAGTGTCCCATATACTTGAATAAATTACCATATATATTCAAGCATAATGTTTTTCTTTTTCTTTTTTTTTAATACATGATTTCTATTTTTGGTGGCCAGTTGCACAGATGGAGGGGTTAAAATTCAGGGGGTGGCATTGTACATGAAGTCAGCTTATATATGAGTATATACGGCACTAAATTATTTTGCGTGAGGGTTCTTTCACATTTCTATAACCTTCATCAGTTTTTCCATAATTGATTTTTGTTAACCTTTTATTATTTTAACTTGAACAGTTTTCTTCCTTCTCAGATTTTTGCTTGAATATTATTTTTTAGCTCTTAATGATGAACCACAAGTTTTTTGTTGAATTACTTGGTGAAACTGGAACTTGTTCCATTAATTTAAAACCTGGGAGGGGACTGCAATAGTCATATTTGCAGAATGTAAAACAACATTGTCTTACATGAATATACTCTTGAGCTTAATGCTTCTTTATTGACTTTACACCATTTAAAAAAAAATGTCTCGTTCATAATCTTGCAATAATTGTCTGCATTTAGCTAGATATGAATTTTGAAGGTACCTATAATTTTATTGTCTACAATAATACTGCCCCAAAATATTAACTTTTCTTCACTTGATTTCAAATTGTGTTGGTTGATAGTTTCCTTGAAGCCAACCAATATCTAAGTAATCAACTATTCAATGTCACTTGACATTCATTGCTAAAAATTAGTTGAAAAACAAATTTTCATTTACTTCTTTGCCCAACTTCCACATTTCTCTTTGTGTTTAAACATAGTTTGCTTAGTGGCTTTCATATCTTTAGCCAATGTTATCAATATTCTGAATCTTTTCTATTTAGATTTGCAACATCAACCTTTCCAAATATTTTTTGAGTTGCAAAATATATATATGTGTGTGTGTGTGTGTGTAATGAAAACAAATTGAAATTCATGGGATATATTTATCATCATATCTTGAAAATCTGACCAACATCTTGTTGGTTAGCGCTAATTTTGTGAAAATGTTTGACTTGCATAATAAAATGTGACTGTGTATTTGGCTACTGATTAAAAGAAGCTAGGCATGTGCAGCATGACCAAGGAAGAAAATTAAAAGCAGATAAATATTAAGACAGATGGACATGAAATTAATGTAACCTACAGGATTTGATTCTTTGTTCAATAAGTGTCACTGTAGGCTAATGTTTAATTCCATAATCCTCTAATAACTAATGACTTATAATATGGGAAAGTGGATATCTGATAATGGCTGAAATGATGAATGTTGGATTGTAAAATACTTAATTCCATTTTTTTTTGTGTGTGTGTGTATATATATATATATTCAGGTTAACAGATGTGTGTCTATCACACACACACACACACTAGATGTGTTATTATACATTGACCACTGTTTTATTAACAGCAGCACTCAATGTGTGAAACTTACTTTTTCAGCTCATTGAAACTTGGTATTACATAATAGGGCTAAATGCAGACGGGCACTAAGACATGGTGTAACAGTTAGCAAGCTTGTCTTGCAAGATCAATTATAACTGAATAGTGAGTTCAATCTTCACTGGGTGTCCCATACTTTCGCCCTTGTACCACATCTAAGCTACACTTAGAAAATCATTAGGATTAAATGAAGAAAAATTGGATGCAATATTAACTTGGAGTTAACTTGGTATAACTTATTGGGACCCACCCACTTGCTAATTAGGTGAAAATAATAATTAGAAATTATTTTTTAGCTTAAATAAAATATCTAACAAAAATCTCTAGATTAAATTGTTTACATAAAGATATATAATGATAAAATTAAAGAACAAATAGGGAATGTATATCTGTTTCATTTTTATCAAAGCTTCATCAGAGATTGAGAAAAAAATGACCAAAAGACAGAAAACACTGGTATTTTCAATTTTGTTTGGATCAGTTCTCATTGGTCAGGTGCGTGTCCCGTACATTAACCGTTACCACACTGGAGGCGAAAATTGTCGCTGTAGAATTCTCTCCCTTTGCTGCTCTAGGTGCATTGTGTCGCCTTGAGACAATTGCTATAAACAAACACTTGCCAACTGTTATTTCTGGTATTTTACACTGGAAATCACCTACTAATGTTTTGGAATATGGCTAAACTTCAGTTTTCTGATGCCATTTTGAATTCTACTAGACTCTACACATGGTGTAACATCAGTTAAACCCACATTAATTTGTCATGATTTTTTGTAAACAAATGGCTTCCTCAACATCCAGCTAAGCCTTTATTCAGGAGTTTTTCTATGATTCAGATGCCGATGATGATTTTAAGGCTTTACTCAAGTGGATAGTGATTGTGAAGTAGTGGAAGATAACTATACTAGTGACATGGAGCAAAGTGATGATGACTACTAGATACCAGCCGACTACTATCATCCAAGGTTGACTAATTTTATGGAAGCTACTGGTGACCATCTATATACCTGATAGCCTTTCTGAAGGTGAATTATTTTGTCCATTTATAAACAATGAAATAATAACTTTGTGTCAACAAGATGAATAAATATGAGTCAGGTAAAAGAAAGGGTAAACAAATTCTGGTGTCTTCTTGTATGGAAACACGTCACTTTTTTGGCGAAATAAAAAGCTTTCTTGATGATTTTGATTATTATTGTTGCACCCCAGAACTCCACAAAGAGTAATAAAAGTCAAAATATGTTGAATTATTTATGTATTTTTAATGTATTTGTTTTATATTTTGTGTTTCAGTGTAATGCATTACATAAAAATGTTACTCATCCATTCTTTTATTTGTATACAAAAAACAAAATCTCTACACACAATACAAAGGAAGTTATAACAATTTTAAAATAGGTGTTTGTTTTTGCATCTTCAAAAACAAATACAGTGGCAGGGAGAACAGTTCTATAAAGAAATTACCATGGTAAAGTTTAAAACTGGATAATTCTGTGTATGTAGGTTTGTGAAGATCTTGTATGTCTAAGTTGGCAATTGATGGTAATGTGTGTTTGTAATTGTGTCCATCTGTTTGTTTTTTTTTTTTTTTTTTTTTCCACCTTTGTGTGGTCTACCCTCACAGTGAGGAGTCACAGTAGCCTAGTTTATGGCTTGCCTGTTTAAGAATGTATTCTTTCTATTAGATTCTTTAAGAATGGATTCAAAGAAAGATGGTGATGTGATGTAACATTTTAGACATGTATTTATAGTTGATAAGTTTTCAATGTATTTTCTCATTAAAGGATTGTTTTTTGCGGTGGGGGGGGTATTAGTGAAATCAAAGTTATGTCCAGCATCATTTCGATGCAGAATGAGAGATTGATTGTCCAAACACAAGTCTCTCTTGTGTTCATAGATGTGGGCTTTTAGGTTATGTGATGTCTCCTCCACAAACATTCTTGCATTGTGAATAATTTATTTGATAAATCCTGGCATTTGAATTGGTGTTGGGTTTATTTTTCTTCCTAATTATACCTTCAATTGTCTTGGTGGTAATGATCCTTGTATTAGGGATGACTAATTTGTTTGCGCATTTAGTACAGTGCTGGATTATGAATTTTGTATAATTTTTGTTAGAAGTGTTATTGATGATGTCTGTTTTTTTTTTTTTTTTTTTTTGTTGTTTATTATTATTATAAACTGATTTGAGTAGTGGAGAAGTTTGAAAGATTTCTCTATATTTCTCTTCTTCATTTAGGTATTCTGGGCTACATATCTAGGACCCAATTTTCTGTATCAAATTTCCTTTGATTCCGTTTCCACTTGTTTTTTTTTTTTTTTTTTTTTTTTTTAAATATTTTTCCCATTTCTTATAGTATTTTACAAGGAACAAAAATATAATTCAAAGTTTTATTGCATATAAAGAAATACCAAATATCTACACATCTTTTATTTAATGTTAAAATCCAAGTGCAAAAAAAAATTATATGTAAAAATAAAAAAAGATATAACCTGACTAGACAATAAAACAATGGGATGTTACAGTGCATATCTTTGAGGTAGAACTTTTAATCACAGCTTCCTTCTTTAAGAACACATTCAAATTTTTTTTTTTTTTTTTAGTAAAAGGATTTATAATTATTGATTCATAATATAAAAATCACATTTAAAGTATCAACAGCAAATAACTTGAATCTCAATAATAAATATCTGAATAAAGTCAAACATTTTGGCAAAAATTTTACAAAACGGTAATTAAACCATAACTGGATCTTTTGTAACAAAATATCAAAAAACAAATTAGACATTAATTCAAAATGTAAATAAAACAACTTATCCAAAGTTGAAATACTGTTCAAATTTAAAATTGTTAATTTCTTAATTTGAGGAAATAGCTAATCTTCAAATCTCTTCTTTAAATCTCCATTGTAATACAACATTGTGAGTTGCTTGCTGTTCTCAGGGGGTAAGACTTTCATGTTGTTTATTGAGTAATTTTTTAACTGAGAAAATGAATGTTCAGCATCTATGCTGGTAACAGGCATCCATATGAACTTATTGGCAATCTTTTCCAGAAGAGGAAATCTGCTCTTATTTGCATTCCAAAATGATGGCATATTAAAAGGATTTTGAAAATTGTCTTGGTAATTCACATACATTTGGAATTCTTTAAGATCAGTAGAAAGACATTGCAATTCCTTGATGGATGCAAAACTGTTTAAAACATGGCCTATACATGGTGGCTGTCTAGGATCAAACAGGCGAGCTGTCTTGTAAAAGTTATACACAGGGTGGGTATCCAGGTATTTATTCAGTTTCGAAAAAGATGTGCTGGAAAAATCTTGGAAATTTGACATAACTCTCTTTGTGTTTTCTAGTTCAGACAGAAGACTATCAGTTTCTAGGCCAAATGTTGATTCTGATGTATCGATATGCAAATACAGTTTTTATATCCTCCATGTTGTATACAACACATGCAAGTGGAGACTTTCTAAGTTTCTCAAAGCTGTTATTAGATTAGTGCAGTTCTCATTCATAAAATGCTGATTTAGGCACAAATTATGGTAAGAGGCATGATGTAGTCGACTCTACCACTTCGTCCCCAGCCCCTCAACCTCCGGTATCTTCCTCTTTGGGTTGAGGTGTCCGAACCGAACTTAGGGGTAACTAGCTGTATGCTCCCTGAGTACCCGTAGATTATTTCAACTGGTCAAGTCCTGCTTGCTGCCCATGCTGTGTTGAATCGCCTGGGGTAGGTTTATGACTAGTAGTCCAGTCTCATATAGACTTCTCAGAACAGGGGGCAGTCTTCCTTCTCTAATTCTCCCGCAAATCTCTCGACAACAGTCTCGTTCCCCGACTCTCTCTTCAGTCTCGCCTCTTCCGTCTAACTATGCATTTATATAGATGAATCTGGTTGATCATGAGTCGACCCTTGGCCCAGCACGCGATTATCATGAGTGCCAAAAACTATCCCTTGACGTGTAAACCGATTCTCCAACTATTTATCTTATCTCAATCATGAGTTCTCGCTTCCCCAAAATTATACTTTGGGACATCTAAACATTGATTCAACCTTTTAATCAAGACAAATACTGTTAAACAAAACCAAATATCTCGTAGCCTGAGTAAGCTCTATTTCAATTTTTAACTGATAAATTTGATTTAGATCATTTTTCCATTGTCTTTTCTAATGACCCAGATTTAAAACATCACCTCCTGCCCTGAGATCGTGTTTATCGTCGGTAAACACACGTCTTAACCCAAATTGTGCTTTGATATATGAACACCATTTCCACTTCCAGTCCATAAAAGTTATATTTGTGCGTGTGTACCTCTCTCGGTTACACGACTATCATCTACTAATTCTAGAATCCTATCTACTGCAAGGCCATGGTTTTTGTTTAAAGAATCCTTCATAAAACTGTACAAAGAATGAGTGATATCTGACCACATTAAACCATGAATTCTATCTGGTTGCCACTGGTACAGGGGGTACTTTTACTTGTTCTTTAGGCAAAGACCTTCAAGCCGTTTTAAGTATCGCTTTTTCCAACTTGGCTTTTTTTTTTTTAAAGCCAACTTGATGAAAGTAGTGAGCTGGGTAACATTATCAAATGCTGGCCAGTGTGAAAATTACTTAACAAGATTTAAAATATGTACTAAGCACGACATGTGGCAACTGTTAACAAAGACATTTGACAACACTTCCTTATGAGCTTTTTTTTTTTTTTTTTTTTGGAATAGGCTGCAGAATCTGTTACAAAGGCAATAATATCCTCAAATCCAATATCCACATGAGTTACAACTTGGATGCATGCCTGACTTACAGTTTGATGATTGCATTCTCCCAAGGTTACAACAATGAGAAATGACTCCCCACAAATGTTTGCAATTACATTCAAAATGTTGTGGTCATGATAATTGTTTCGTCTGTTATGATACTGACAGATTGATTAGCAAGCTTGGCTTTCAGGACAGCAAAGTGACAAGCAAACAGTTTTGATAGATGGAATTGTCTAACACAGTTGACACTTGGAATAGTGCCACCTTCTTTACAATGTTTTAATATGAATGACCTCATTTTGTCAAATTTGCGTGGTGGAATGTCAGACAAAGTGCACATTTTCAAAAAATCAAGGACAAAATCATCTAGTACCTCTTTACTCTTCAAAATTGTGGTTGCCTTCTGTTTCAGTTGAGCTGTCTTTGAAGACTTTTGAATTGATGTGCTCTTTGATAGGGTTGACATTTTTAGGGTTGACACAGTGTAGACAGAATTTGCAAAATAACATTTTCTTCTGCATAAAAGTCATCAGGAATGTGCTCTACTGTGGCTTTAGAAACAAATTTTAGATACTGAGTCTTTTTTTTCTTTTTTTCCTCCCAAGGAGCAAGCCCAACTTTTAAGGCTGATTCACTATATTGACTTATTCATACAACTGGTTTAGATTACAAAATATAAATAAAATATTAAAAAAATAATCATTGACAGTTAATGTTATTAAATGATTTTTTGTTCAATTTAAATGTTTACAATGGTGAAGCACTGAAGATGATACAATTATTAATCTGGGAGGGAAATCCATACAAAGATTTGTAAAAACAAATTTTTGCAAATTAACTACGTTATGTTATTATATTAAAATGTTTGACAAAATTGGGGAGACAGTAAGTTTTGAAAGAATTTAAAAAAAAAAAAAAAAATCATTAATTTATTTATTATTGAAAGTTATATTAAAAACCAAGATTCCATTTAAGACTAACAATTCCGTGATTCCATTCATGATCGCAGAAAATTTATTCCCCTGTATATACTAAGGGCTCTTAGGTAAAACCCTATGACTAGTTCAGATTAATTTTTATTTTATTTTTTAGTGGGAATGGTTGGAATTTCGAACTGAACCCATTATTTCATCCACCAGGATATACTGTTGTAGTTCCACATGCAATGACTCTTTCAAATAAAAGAAATATATTAATGGAATCTGTAATTATTAGATCAGCTTAAACATTGGGGAAAATTGTGCTCTTAAAAAATGAAATGCTTAAAACCTGATAGAAGAGCACATTTGACTGTTCATTTAAATTTCATTTTAACAGTTAATGCTTTGCAACTTCTTGCTATGGACCACAGCATAACAAAGAGCAAGCTAAATTTTTACTTCAGCAGATCACTTTTTTTCTTTTTTTTTTTTTTTTTTTTTTTTTTATTGTAAGGTGTTACACTTATCTTCCATGACAGCTTAAAACAAAAAAAGTTATCAACAGATGAAAAGACAATGCCTGTTTTGTTTTGTTTTTTAAAAAAAATAGAAGAAAATTTTTTAAATGTAATCATTTTAACTTTTGAAACAGGACCTAATCCCTGGTTGCAATTTGAAAATTACTTACTAATTACATTTCAATTTTTTATGGGTACATGCACCAAAGTTAAGCTTAAACACTTCAAATGTAAATAAATTTCAATTTAATCCCCAAATTTTGATAATTATGGAAAATATTGCCAGCTAAGAATGTAAATGAAATGAATAACCATTCAAAGGGCACTGGACACTTTTTAAGGTTTTTTTATTGTTATTATTATTAAAAAAAAAAAAAAAACATCAGTGTGAAATTAAGAATATATCCGGTTTTTGTATTTATTTTTCTATTTTATAATATGAATTATTTTTTAAGAAAATGCATAAAAACTGCCAAGACAAAAGTGATTCAAATGTAACTTTTTTTTTTTTCTTGTGAACACAACTGTTAAGTTGTTAAAAGGTGCCAACTGTCATTGAAATATTGACATAATTTAAATTGTGGCATAAAAATAAAAAAAACTCTTGAAACTTTAGAATGAGAAAAGATTAAGTATTCTTTATATACTAATTTTATCAAAATAAGCTCAGCAGTTGAAATGGAAGGAAATTTCGCTATTTTGACAGGTTTTTGCACTGTAAACTAAGGCAGTTTTGGATACTTATTTCAAACCTTTTTGTTAAAGGTATTTTGACCCCCTCTATCACTTAGGATGCCAGTTCTAAAGGTTACCCGGGAAATATACACAGCCTATTATGTTACATTTGGTGGCTGTAATCAGAATATCAAGGTTTTAAGTGGATTCCCATCAGTGCTACACTAATCCAGTTTATTTTAGGCATATCTTCTGTATTTTATTAGCTTGAATGTTTTTATCTGGTGGAAATGTTTTCATAACCTCAAATTAGATGTGTTTTTTGTTGTTTTTCTTCTTGCTATTCTTCTGTTAAAATTAAAATATTGAGATTTGATTCTGTTTACTTCCAGGTTGGAGATGGAACCACTAGTGTTGTTCTGCTGACTGCTGAGTTTTTAAAACATGCCAAACCATTTATTGAAGATGGTGTTCATCAACGTGTCATCATCAGAGCTTTCAAGAAAGCAGCTGCAATGGTAAATGGAATTTTCTTTGAAATTGGAGTAAACTGTAACAAAAATGATCTTGAAATATGGAAGAAGTTGAGATTTTTCAAGTTTTATCAACAACAAAGAAATCAGCTTTGTAATGGAAACTTGTAAATTAACATGATTTTAGTTCATATCAGATTTGTTTCTATCTTTGTAATTTGATTCTAACTCGTTAAATTGATCTGAGCTTTGACAATAGCAATGGTGAATAGTTTTCAATGTTATAGCTAATTAATTTAACTGACTTTTTGACTTATTTTTCTCATTACTTGTAGGCTGTGGCCAGATGTAAAGAAGTTGCCATCTCTGTGAAAAAAGACGATGAAGAGTAAGGATTTTTTGTTTTAACTCTGAAGACATTGTTATGCTAAACTTGGAATCGGTTTACCTTTCTAATTCATTTTGAAATTGCTGCACAAATAACTTAAACCTACAATTACCACACAAATCCATTCAAATTGATGTGAAAATTTATCAAGACAATTTAAATTCATTCTTTTTACTTTGATACGAAAAGATGCACAATCCCACCTTCACTAAAATGTAACTGCATGCCTCAATTTATTTCTGAATTAGCACTTTACATCCAACTTCCGAAATATAATCTTTAAAATATGTAATTTAGTTGCTGGTATTTAATGTATAGTATAGTATAATATATTTGCTTTTGTTTTCTTCTGAATAAAAATCTTGTATGAATGTTTGAACAGACTTTTTATTCAATTAGGATGAAATCTCCAGCAAAGTTTCAATAGCTTCTTTTGTTTTAGATTTGTTTAAAAGATGTTTTTGTTGTTGCTTTATTCAGAGAGCTGCGACATTTGTTGGAGAAATGTGCTGCTACTTCTCTCAGTTCCAAATTGGTTTCTCTCCAAAAGGACTTCTTTGCTAAAATGGTTGTAGATGCTGTGATGTCACTTGATGACCTTCTGCCATTAAGCATGATTGGTATCAAGAAAGTTTCTGGGGGAGCCTTGGAGGTGAGAATAATTACTCACTCTTCTCCTGATCAGTCTATTGCTTTTTGTTCTGCGTATAATATTTATCTGTTTGTGTCTCTTAGGATTCCCAACTGGTTATTGGTGTGGCATTCAAGAAAACCTTTAGTTATGCAGGTTTTGAGATGCAACCAAAAAGTTATAAAGATCCAAAAATTGCAATGCTTAATATTGAATTGGAGTTGAAAGCGGAAAAGGAAAATGCTGAAGTGCGGATTGATAATGTAGAGGTCAGTAAATTTTTTGTTTTTCTTTTTCATCTATCAATTTTAGAAGACCTGCTTAGTTTTTTTTCTCCATTTCAAAAAAAAAATGTGTGGGTTTTGTTTTTTAATGTAGATTTCAAACTTCATTTGGTTTGCCCCAAACTACAAAATGTTTATATCTCAATCTACTTTTTTTTTTTTATATAGTTGAAGTATTTTGAAAGAAAATATATTTTCATGTTGTTATTTTAGCAAGTTTTTATTTGATGCTGAAATTTATTTCATATATATATATACACACAATTTTAATGTGCTGAAACACTTTATATCAGTCCATCAATTTGGAATTTGAGTTGAATGTCTACAAAACCTTTTGAAACATTGTATGTCCTCAGCTGTTTACTCAAATATCTATTTGTCTATAGGAATATCAATCCATTGTTGATGCTGAATGGAACATTTTATATCAAAAACTAGACATAATCCATAAAAGTGGAGCCAAAATTGTTTTGTCCAAATTGCCCATTGGAGATGTTGCCACACAATATTTTGCTGATAGGTAAGTGGATGGCAATTTTGAAATTTAAAAACAAAAAGTACATTGTTATGTGATTTGTCTGTCATGAAGTAAATATCTCCTAGCCTATTTTATATTTGGCAATTGTTTATTGAATGTATCTTTTGATTTTAGAGATATGTTCTGTGCTGGTCGAGTGCCAGAGGAAGACCTTCAGCGAACTATGAAAGCATGTGGAGGTGCCATTCTGACAACAGTGCAGAACATGAATGACGATAATTTAGGGAGATGTGCTGCCTTTGAAGAACAACAAATTGGAGGTGAAAGGTAACTTATTTTTTAATGCATATAAATTTTGCCATAAATTCTTTTCTTTTACAATAGCTATACACTAGTGGCCCTGTGACTCCAGCCTTTGTGATTTTTTTTATTTTACCAGATTGATTTTGTTATCATTGTAGATTAATAGTTTATAAAATTAACTTATTTTAGGTACAATCTCTTCACTGGTTGTCCTGAAGCCAAAACATGTACCCTAATCTTGAGAGGCGGTGCTGAGCAATTCATTGAGGAGACTGAACGATCATTGCATGATGCTATCATGATCGTAAGAAGAGCCCTTAAAAATTATGCTGTTGTTGCTGGTAAGTTATTTTGGCAAATATTGTCTGAATCTCTTGTGCTTAAGTTGAACTCTGCATAAAGAGTGTGTGTTTTTGAGGGGGGTTATTTTTTCTTTTCTAAGCTACACCCATCCTTTCTCACAATTTTTAAATTGTAGTTTGACTAAATCTGTTAAATTTTTTATTTCCTGTCAGAATCATAGCCTCTATTCAATCCCTTTTTAATTTTATGCATAAATGTTAATCATCATATTAAATACTTTTTTTTTTTTTTTTTTTAACTTGAGGTGGTGGTGCTATTGAGATGGAACTCAGTCGTTATCTACGAGATTATTCCCGAACAATTGCTGGTAAGGACCAATTGTTAATTGGGGCGTTGGCGAAAGCACTGGAAGTCATTCCACGACAATTGAGTGACAATGCTGGATTTGATGCAACCAATATATTAAACAAATTAAGACAAAAACACTCACAAGGTAAGAGGAAAGTTTGAAAGTCTTTGCCCGTAAAATTTGCTCCACTTGCATTTTACTAATAATGGCATGGAAGAGATTTAAATGTGAATAGACCCTTAATAAGCTGCAAGTGAAGGGGATGTTTTTAAAGTTTTTTGTTTTGTTGTCTTTATTTGGCTATTGATCAGATATTTGTTGTTAATATTGAATATTTGACAGAAATAATTTCCTTTTTGCTGTGAACTGATACTTGATAGTTTGTGTTTTTTTTTGTTTATTATTATTTCTCTCTCCAGGTGAAAGTGGTATTTGGTATGGTGTTGATGTGATGAAAGAAGACATCACAGACAACTTTGAAGCCTGCATTTGGGAACCAGCAGTTGTAAAATGCAATGCCATTATGTCAGCAACAGAAGCCACATGTCTCCTCTTGTCAGTGGATGAGACAATCCGTAATCCAAAGTCTGAAGGCCCAAATGATGGTGGTAGAGGAAGAGGTCGACCAGCATAAATGAGAAATTACTACTTTTGTCAATAGTTTGCGGGCTTTGTTTCTGTCTTGTAAAGAAAATTATTGCAAGTTTGTTTTTGCACATCATGCAACAAAAGATGTGCTTTCAGTCACACTAGCCAAAGACAATAAGAAATTAATCTGCTTTCTCCTTGATATATTTATCATAACCAGCTTTCTTTTTTTTTCTTCTCCATCTTCATCTCCCCCATTTTCAACTTGCAAGAAATAAAATTTCCAGTAAAAAGATTTTTCAATTTTATTTATTCTTAGCATTTCTATTTTCATTTCAGTATTTGAAAGAAAAAGAATTTGTGAAACAACCTGGAAAAATAAAATCTTTTGTTGCTATGAAACAGGTTTTGTAAATTTTTTTTTGCTTAGAACCATCACTCGTTTTGGTCAGCAATGTATCCCCCTCCCCCATGTTGGAGTCTTATTAAAAACAAAAAAAAAATTTTTTTATTTTATTTTATTACAAAATTAGGTTTTGGAATTAGTTGATGGGCATATGCTTCATAAATAAAAATCTTCATTTTTATAAACATTTCCAAAATAATTACTGTACAATAAAAAAAAAAAAAAAAGGCACTAAATATTTCCTGAAGCGTGATAAAATCTTAGCTGGGTTTATGTAATAACAACTGCTTTGAAAACGCAGGCACCATTTTCTTCAAGCAAAGCAGGCCACAAAAATTCTAAGATTTCTTCCTTAGCCAGTTCTGAAGTGTGAAAACGTGTGTGCAGGTGGGGATCAAAGCTGGTTGTGTCATAGCTGATGACGTAGCGTGGATTTTGGACATTTAATGCCCAAGCTACTCTTACACATTCCTCAATGTATTGACGTAATCCTTTACTTTGTCGTAGACATGGGTAGTCAAACAAGGCCATGTATAATTTGGAACATACATCCTTTAAAAAAAAAAAAAAAAAAAAATTGACATGTTTGGGAATAAAGCATTTCTATTATCATTATTAAGTTTGAGTACTTAAAAATCTTTTTTTTTTTTATATTAAAATTACAATTTAAAATCATTTCTATATTAATTTTTGTTATTTATAAATTACATGACTCAATCTCCATTTGGATATAACAAGCTTGAATTTTATGAAATCACAAACCTCGACATTCGCTGAACAATCATGACGATCAACAGTTTTTCGTATATAATCATCAATTTCTGCTTCTAAGCTGAGAGATGGTAGGTCAGCACTTTCATTGTTTACATCTCCAACTTGGATGTGCAGCAGATTACGTACTTTGCTTTTCAACTCAAGCAGATATTCATATGTAGAACGGAAAGCAAGCTTTAAAAAAGAAAAAGTTAAATTTCATTTTCTGAAGAAACCAAAATAATTAAAAGGCTTTTTTTTCAATCATTGTGAAAACTGCTTTTTAAGTTGCATCACTAAACTATTATCCCCCACCCCCTTACACACAGCAGAAAAAAAAATCTACAATCTAAAGATATTTTCTGGGTTGATAAGCTATAGAACACGAATCAAATCAATCATTTGGCAAAGTAAAACTTGATGTTAAAAAATATTTACTTACAACAACAACAGAAAACAGAATTTTGGTTTTAAGTTTGTCAAAATCTGAAATTTCAGCCAAGTTGTCCAAATCATCAGCTGCATCAACTCTGGTTTCACTATAAAGATTACCATAGAGACGGATCAATTCAGTGGGTCTCTTTTCATTCAAAGAGAGATCTTCAAAATGACTGTTGCTAATTGTGAACTGCTTATGGGCTTGTTCCGATAATCTTCAAAAAGAAAAAAAAAGTTAATTTTATTTTTTAAGAACTATAAACAAACTAGAACATTTGAAAAATGTTTACACTTTATTAGCCAGTCTCCTAACAACTTTTGCACCAAATCCTGAAAGACTGGCTCTCAAAGTGTGCAAAATAAGTTCTGTTGGATATTTGCTCCATCTGTTAAGGCTGGAATAACAAGCAACAATAAGATATTAAGGTGGGCTGAAAAGTTGGTAGGCTGTTTATGAAGGAGTGATGCTAGAGCTGTGAAATCTTGTATGCATTAATTTCAACTCTTATTAATAACTGCATTGTTTTTTTTCCTGGTAAACGGACATGACATAATCATTGGTTCCCTGCCAAGTATGTGTTTTGTCTTTATGTTGGGGAACAGATGATAGTCAAATCAAGAGAATAGGGAGGGTAATCAATCAGTTTGAAGCTAATCATGCACAGCAGCCAATTAAAACTAAGGACTTGTGTGCTGGAGCATTGTTCTGATGAAACAAGAACCCTTTTGTCAGTTTTCTTAACTGTTTGATCTTGATAGAATTTTCTAACTAATTTGGTGATGGTGTAGCCCTTTTGAAGATGGTCAGTAAACACAATGCCCTTCACCCCTCCCCTCAAAACCTGAAGCCATCCCTTTGCAGTTGGTGAAGAGGGATGTTTCCACTGCATGGATTGTATCCTTGTCTCTGGCTCAAAATGATGAACCCAACACTCATTGGGTTAGGAAATGTTAAAAAAAAGCCAGCTGGATTTGCCTTAAACACTATATTCCCCCGCCATGGATTGCTTTTGATCAGGTGTCAGAAGATTTGACACCCAACAAGCAGAAACCTTTTTCTTGCAAACTTCATTGTGCAGAATATTCTCAACCCTCTCACGGGATATGCTAATAGCTTTGGCTAATTTGATTTATAGTTAAATCGCCTGCCATCACCATGTGGTGAACATGATTATTTTTCTTGGTGGTGGCAATTGCAATTGACTCTCTCTTCCTCTCCTAAATTCAGATGCCCACTTTTGCCCTGTTGATAAAGCTGGAGTGCCATCCCCTAATGTATCAATTGTGCCCACATGAATGTCCTTGTGGACTAAACCCTTTGTCTGCAGGTACTTGATAATATCATGCTGCAAAACTTTGTCCTTTTTTAAGAGAAGTTGCTACTAATTACTTTTGAAGTTGTCTTTGAACATTCAGATGTCAGTTTATCTGGAATAAAAGAATGCAGTTATTACTAAGAAGAATTGAAATTAATGCCCTCAAGATTTCACAGCTTTAGCATCAATGCCTTCATAGTCAGCCTATGAACTTTTCAGCCAACCCTTGTAGAGTAAAACTAGCAAAATAAAAGACTTCTTTCTAACATTTATTCAAAGAATGGACACATGTTTGTAGTTATTTTCTATTTATAGCCTGCTACAATAATCTAGTGCTCAGGATTGATTTATGACTCGAACTTGTTAATCCTTATGGTAGATATCTTCAGTAAATTATTAAAAGCTCTGCTTAGGCAAATGGTTGCACTAATGAGAATCACAAACTCACACCATGGCACACTGATCTGCATAAGTTTGCTAACCATTTTGCTGATTTTTCTATCCAGTACTATCATTCAAATTAGTTTTTAATCAAGATACACTGATGGAAGATAAATTTAATCCTAACCCTGTTTTAATACAAGTAATAATACTGGATTACTGTAGTTGTAAAGAAAAAAAAGAAAACTGTGAGCATATAGTAGCAACAAACGTCTGCAATAAGTTTCTTCTGTCTCTCGGATGCAACACTTGTAGCCAAATCAAAATTCAAACAATAGGCCGTCATAACAGTCCAACAGGCAATGTAGAAATGACAAAATGGGGCACACATCCAACCTTCACTTCTCACCGGCAAAAACGCACGTTTGTCCACCTAGCTCAGAAAATCTAATCCTAACATAAATGAAAAACAACGGCTTTTGTTCACCAAGAGATCTTTCTGATTGGTCACACCATTCAGGGGAGGGAAGAACATTAGCATAGATTCTAGTCCTTAAAGTGGATTTTTGCTAACTACTTTTTGGTAATTTTTCTTTGGCAGGTCGCACACAAAACACAAACTCTTTTTCAAGGTAGCTGATTATCTCTCACTACAATTACTGTAACTGATCCAGTATACAAATCAACGTGTGCACACATTTTAAAATAAGGAATCCTTTGGAATTCAGATCGCCATATTAATACAGCTATGTACTCTTGCATGCATATGATTGTACAAATGCCAAATAGCTTTATTCCTCCTGCACCTGCTAATAAAAAAGGAGTTATATCTAATGATTATACTAGCCAGAAAATTTGCCAAACATTCTGAGTAATATGGAATGGGCATTTAACACTAACTAGAATGGTTTGAACAATGTATGAAATTCCCAATGATCATTGATCTGTGCAACCACAACACTAGACATACCGCCTTTATAACAATTCATGGACCCCAATCAGGATGGGTTTGATACCATCACTCTATACCCATATAGGTTTGCTACAGATGATAGCATTACTGACAAATGCTCAGTGGTTGGACTGTCTTTCAAAAATCTTGTGTATCCCACAGTAGAATTTAATTCCACTATGGAAACAATCTCTAGGAATCTGGCTCAAATGATCACAGATGAGAAGGCAGATACCAAGGAAAATCACATTATTGACTCAAGTACAGGTTTATTACAATTAATTTTTTTTATATATATATATATATATATATATACATACATACACACACACACACACACACACACAAAGGGGCATGGTAGAGTAGTGGGTAGCAGCTCGGATTACAGTTGAATCTATTACATTCATTTACTTGCTAATACCCTTGGGAAAGGTATTAATTCTCTTCTTTTCCCTCCAGCTATGGGTAAATAGCAGGACAGACTGGGCTCTTTCGCCTTGGATGGCAACTGGTCTAGGAGAAGGACAACTCTGGATTCAAAACTTGCGGAGGGTCGTTTGGGGACCTTGAAGCATGTAGTGCACTAGGTCTCTGTATTCAGCCCTTCAAAAAATGGTGGTTGGTTCTGCACAAAGCCTTCATCACTATAATCAAATCATGTGCTGGTGTCTGGCTGTCAGTTCCTAGAGATGTGGCAAAAATGAAAGTCTAGCTAGAGAAATATGTGCCCTTTGTCCTGATGAAAGTAAATGATTTCCAACTGTGTGAATTTACCTACAGACATTTGCTCCCTCTGTGTTGTCATCTCTTACAGATTCTCTTACAATGCATTTGATTTTGGTAAGCACCTGTACTAAGTGGCCACCAACGACCTAGTATACAGGTGTCGGGATGTTCTGTTCATTTGACACCTTGCACTAAAATCTTTCTGTACCTTATTGCAGCATGCATCACTATCTAAAGTCATGGTGCCTCACATAATGGCCAAAGACTGAAAATTTTTTATCTACTACCCACAGGTCAGAAACTGACATTCTTCAAAAGTGTAGCAATTTTATTTTTTGTAAATGTTCATGTTTCACAATATTCTCCTCTTATTACCATAAAATTTATGCTAAAGAGACAGTTCCTTTGACCCTTTAGCCACAAATATACACAACTGTAAATTGAGGTAATACTAATGGGATCACTACAGCTACTTATTTCATTCACAAAGTGATTATTCCTTGATTTAATACAATACATTTTTATGAATATAAAAAAGAACATTACAATCAAGTGAAAATCTTATTTTGTCAGTGAGAATAAAATTATTAAAGCAAGAATAGTCAAATTTAATCTGAAATTCAATGGTTGAAAAAAAATAACTTTAAAGAAAAAAAATAATTAAGATTTATCCGAGATAATATTTTCTACTAAATAGAAACATTTTTATATACAAGTCGGTATGGAATGTTAAATGAAAAAAGTTAATGTTGGGGAATAAATAGCTTGAGATTAAAATATTTTCTTTATTCCATACACATTTTAGGGCTCAATATCATCTCACATATTTATAAATGAAGATTGGAGGGAACAATAAATGAAATGTTGATATAATAACAAAGATGAGGACAATAATCCACATATAGATAATAACTTCTCATCCCAGAAATTCAGACAAATTATTGTAATCATTTGCAAGGGAAACTACTCTTAAGTATTTTAATATACCTGGAGTAATTCCCCTTTAAAAATCAAATCATTTAGGATGAATGCAAAGGCAGAGACCGTGCTATTAAGCTGCAAACTAGAAACTGCGAAAAACAAATCTCACTAAAATGTGTCGTTTTTGCTGTGTTGCAGCAAAAAACATACAAAATTTTGATCATAATATATTTTCATTTTTGAATGATGTGTTCAAGCAAAGACTGAAAGTAAAATGGAATAATGATGAAGATACTCAAAGATAAACAATTGCATTGCTGCTAACAATACAAAGAGCAATAATGGAAAAGGTGAATTTTTGTATTCTCTTCATAATAACAGTCTCTGACATAAGCAAGAAAATCAAACTCAAGTCAATGAGTTTTGCAGTTGGCTGTTCATTCTTTAAATACATAGGAAGTTTGGTGTTTATCATATAAATGTGCAGGTTCTTAGCTAATTGTTGTTATATATTTGTAGATAAGTAATAATAGTTTGGGCTTTTCATTGGCTCATTGTTGTCTGCCTATGCTGGTCCGTTTTAAGAAAAATCAGGAATTGTCATTTACTGGAAATAAATGATTATAAAGATACTAATGATGATTTCTCATGGTCACTGCCATTTTAGTTTCAATTGGATACTCTACAATGCAGCCTAAGCTAAATGACACCTCCCCCTCCACCAAGACATACAATATAATAAAAATGTCACAAAACAACTCATATTGTACACTACTATATGTGTACATTGTTTTGGAAATAGCATTAAGTGCTGATTAATTTATAGCACAGCTGTTAGGGACTGCAAAGTTTCATAAAGATGCAGGTCTTGAAGACAGAGAGGAAGTGTTAAAAATTTCTTCTAAAAACAAAAATAATGGAAAAAAAATGTCAGATTAGAAAGAGAAAAGTGATGTACCTGTCTCGTAATTGATGTTCTTTTTGTTGCAATTTGCAAATCGTTTGTCGAGAATGTTCCAATTCAATCCGCAGATTTTGTAATTCTTGCAGTAAAAGTTCTTTATCTGCAGATTCAACTCCACTGCCGCTGGTTGAATCAACTTGAGATGAAGAGCAAGTGACACTTTCTTCAAAACTGTCACAAGTGCTCTGTCTATTGCCACCATCACCTCCAACATTTCTGTCTGGTGCTATAAGTTCTTCCAGATCGTCCAGTGTGCTTCGTTTGCGTCGGCGGTCACAAGAATAATTTTTTGAAACTTTCCGACCAGCTGAAAATACAGTAGGAGAAAAAAAAAACGTCATTGTTAAAATATGGACTGATGTTCCTTTTGTCATGTTCAGGAGCAAGCTGCAGGTTTTCATATTTTTTTAAATCATTTCAAAGTATTTTTAAGAAAGAAAAAAGTTGTATGAATGAACTCTATCTTTGACAATAAATTATTAATTATTTAAAAAGCATATACTTTTTTTTGAGGGTGGGGAGGGGAGCAAGTAAAATAGATTATTATTTCCAATATTCATCATTGGTTATTCTTTCAAAATTTTTATCGTTTAGATGTTTTGCTCGTGTGCCAAGTTAATGAATGGCTAGGATTTTGTTAAAAGATTCAAGATTTATTTCCTTTTTTTTATCATTTATAAATTCCCCCTTAGTGTCATTTAATTAAAATTTCAACAATGTCAATCAGAACAATTATCTATAATCGTGAATAATACCACAAGCATTAAGAAATGATTCCTTCAAAGTTAAAATGTGCTAGAAATGTGAAACAGAATTCAGAGGTTGCATAATTAAGTAATCTCAAGTATTTTCAAATTTTGAAAGGCTTGAAATTAATTTTAATAAAATTTATGATTTGTTCATGAGTTGTATGAGAACAAAAAGTTTTCATTTGAGAATCCTACAATAAGTTTTGTTTTATAATATTATATATATATATGACAATATATATATATCTTATATATATATAATATATATATATATAAAATATATAAATATATATATATATATATAAAAATATATATATATATATATATATATAAAATATATATATATATATATAAAATATATATAAAAATATAAAATATATATATAAAATATATATATATATATATAAAAATATATATATATATATATATATATATATATAAAATATATATATATATATATAAAAATATATATATATATAAAATATATAAATATATATATATATTATATATATATATATATATATAAAATATATATATAAAATATATATAAAATATATATATATATATATATATATATAAAAAAAAAATATATATATATTAAAATATATATATATAAAATATATATATATAAAAAATATATATATATATATATATATAAAAATAATATATAATATACATATATATATAAATATATAAAAAATATAATATATATAGACAGATGAATTATATATATATATATATATAAAATATATATATATATATATATACCAAAAATATATATAAAATATATAAATATATATAAAATATATAAAAAAAATATATATAAAATATATAATATATATATATATATATATATATATATATATATATATATATATATAATATATATATATATATATATATATATATAAATATATATATAATAAATATAAATATAAAATATAAATAGAAAATATAAAATATAAATATATTATATAAAAATATATATATATAAAATATATTAAATTGTTTATATTTTGAGATGAGGTATTATTAACAGTATTTACATTACATTGACTATAAATCATTGGAAAATAAAATATTTGTCACAAAATTTATTCTATTATGGATCCGCCACATTTCAGGTATTTCAGGACGATTGTTGAAATTGCCAATTATTCTGTGTGCCACCCCTCTGAGTCGCTTCCTTGTAGATATAATTGACCCATTGATCGGAAAGTCTCCTTCATATGTTTGAAACTCCGCCCACTTAATGGAAATAATCAAAGATGCTCCCATTCTATCCAACCAGATGGTGAGCTTGGACGTGGTGAGTTTGTTCACCAAGGTACCCACGGAGGAGGCACTCTCAGTAGTCAGAGATAGATTAACCTCTGACTCTTCCCTAGAGGAGCGGACCAGTATTCCAATAGATAATCTGATGGAGATGTTGACTTTCTGTACACAAACAACACATTTCGGAATGGGATCTCACATATATATCGACAGGATGAGGGCTTAGCAATGGGCTCGCCATTATCACCAGCAATGGCGAATATATACATGGAATACTTTGAAGAAATGGCATTAGAGTCTATATCTCTAAAGCCAACTATATGGTTTAAGGTACGTAGATGACACCTTTCATACTCTGGCCACATCAGGAAGAAGTCCAGGTTCTTCTGGACCATGTGAACTCAATAAGACCTTCGATACAGTTCACAATGGAGAAAGAGAGTAACAACTCACTCCCATTCCTGGATGTACTAATATCTCGAACAGAGAATGGGTTCAAGACATCCGTATACCGTAAACCAACATTCACCGGACAGTACCTCAATTTCAACTCCCACCATCCATACAGCGTAAAGAAAGGGATCGTCCGATTGCTTACAACATCGAAAAAAAAGTCATAAGTGGCGATCCAGAGACGTTAGATAAAGAATTGGTCAGTATAAGTAGTACCCTACAACGTAACAACTACCCTGGGTACATGGCAGCAGCCCCCAAAAACTGGGATAGGCGGGTACAAGAGAGGAGGAGGAGGACAACAACACTCAGAAAACAGTCTGCCTGCCTTATGTGAAGGGGTTATCAGAGAAAATACAAAAGGATCTGCGGTCCATATAACATCAGGACAACCTTCAAAAAGCTTGACAACACTTGCAGATATCTCTCTCGAGTGAGACCCCCATAGAGGAGAACATGACTAAAGACTGTGTGTACGCTATCCCATGCAGCTGCGGAAAGGAATATAAAGGAGAGACAGGCCGCCCCCTCAAGGTAAGGCTTCAAGAACACCAGAAAGCTGTAACACGAGGGGAAGTAGAAAAATCAGGCGTGGCTGACCACATATGGAGAGAGAAGGGAGATCACCGCCCCCTGTGGGATCATGTTGAGATCATAGACAGGGAACACCATTGGAAAATTCGTAAACTTAAGGAATCAGCACATATGCTAGGCCACAAAAATCTCCTGAGCTGACCAAGCATAGAAATAAATACAATATGGGAACCAGTAATAAGGAGTGCCAGAGAAAAGCAATGATAACAAAGTTGCAATATGAACTCTGGTAAAAGACATGCAATGATAACAGCAAAAAATTGCAATATGAGCACTGGTAAAAAATGATGCTGAAAACATTAGGTTTATAATACTCAGAAGTTCATTCCAGATACCCAGATGTCCACATGGACACATGGATAAAGGCGTTGGTTAGATCCAGTGACAGACCCAAAGAAGGTGAGTTCAATTCCTGGTTAAGGCAGTGGAGAACTTTCAGAGGGAAAATTAGCAGGAGATAACTGATAACTGACATCCATCAAACATGGCACGTGGAATTAGAACAGTCTACCCCAGCGATCGAAATAAAGGGTTCAGTTCGAAATTCCAACCACCTGAAGAAGGCCGGAGCGTACAATGGCCGAAACGTTGTGACAAATATGGCGACAAAGATGAGGACAATAGTCCGACTAATGTAAATACTGTATATAAAATATATATAAATATAAAAAATATAAATATATATATATATATATATAAATATATATATATATATATAAAATATAAATATATATAAATACATATATATATATAAAATATAAATATATAAATATAAAATATAAATATATATATATATATATATATATTTTATATGTATATAATATATATATATATATATATATATATATATATACATATATATATATACATAGATATATTTTTTCAAGTTGGTCAGTTTCACAATTTATGTTTTAGTATTTGTTTTCGGTTTTGTTTTCCTTGATACCGTGGTTTTCGATTTGTTTTTCAGTTTTTAATTTAGTATTTTTGCTTTCTAAGGAAGCCATTCATTTTCAGGTGTGATTTTAGCATTTCTAGTCGATATCTGATTTCATTTGAAATTGATAAATTTGCAACTAAGTCCATTCAACTTGCAATATCTCATGTATTTATGGTCCAATCTTAAAAATATTCATGGCTAGAAAGAAAATAAAATAATCTTTCTAAATATGTAATTTGTATGTGCTTTTTATTCATCAAATGTTTTTTTTACAGCAAGTTAAAACTGTAATGCTTTGAACAGCCGAAAATGCAAAATGATTTTTTTTTTGAGACTAAATTTTACACGTTACTTTGTTTTGCAAAATCAAAGTGACCAATCTTTATCAATATTCATGAAATTGTATACTGAATTAGAAGACAAATTAAACTATAACCAGGAAGACGGTCATTTCTTCTCTGACCTGAGTAAGTGAATTCCTTCAAAAATTATAAAGCAAAAAAAAAAAAAAAGGGCAATTCTTTTCTGGTACACCAATCGACTATTATTGGGGTTTTGCAAATAAATTTGTCCTAAACAAGGAAAATCAATGAGTTATTTTTTCCCCTAAATAAATTTGTTTTTATCTTGCGAATACACCTAAAATTAAATATTAAAAATAATTAAGAGCTTTTAATTTTATTTTTAAAATGTGTAGATTTCCAAATCTGTGAGTATCGCCTGTTCTTTTTTAGATACACATTTTAAAACCAAAATTAAAAAACTATTTTAATCAATTTAATATAATCTTAAGTGTATTATTCACCAGACAAAACCATAAAGATATTTGTAAAAATAAAATGAATTAATTTTCCTTGTTTAGAAGGATTTTATAGGCAGAACCCCCACCGAACACTAGTGGCTAAAAAAGAATAATTTTTATTTTGGGTTTAAAACAAAATGACTTGCAGTTTTGAAAATATACACATTTTAAAACTGAGATTAAAAGTTACTTTATTCTTTTCATCTCTAATTTTATGTGTATTTGCTAGGTAGGAACATAATTTTATTTGTAGAAAACAGACTTGCATATCTGGAAATATACACATCTTAAAAGTGAAATTAATATTTTTGTTCAATCTTTTTCACTTAAATGATATAAATGTTGATGAAATTAAATTTCATTAACATCTGAAAGTCTTTTTCAAAAGTGTTTCTTTGGATATGGTCAGTAGGTTTTGTAAATAATTTAAATGCGGTTTCATGGTGTGAAGATGAAACCGAAAAAAAACGACTTTTTTCGGTTAAACTGCACATCTTTTTTTATATATATATATATATATATATATATATATATATAAACATTAAGTGTTTTTGCCTAGGATCAGAGTGTAGGTTTTGTGCTCGACTCACCTAGAGTCAGTTCTACTTTCTTACAGAGAAATCTATATAATAAGAAGAGGAGGAAATATTCAAAAACAAAATCCCTAACAAAAAATTCTTGATAGACAAAGAGCTTGGTTTTCAAATGAATCTAAGACTTGATATTAAGAAAGAGGGTCATTATCAAGCTTAGTCTTTTTATATTGGAGAAAATTTTGGCTACAGTACTTCCTGATAGACAACTCACTATCAACTTGTGAGTTGAGAGTATTCAAAATTAAAGATAGAAGAGAATAAAATGAAAAATGTCAATTATTAAATCTATTTATTAAATAATAAACATTATTCCAAAAGATTTTACACTCAATCAGTAATCCTTTAAATAAAAAAATACTTTATAGAAATGCAAGACACAAAGTGTAAATCATATACTTGTAAAATATCTGATAACAGTGAGGCACACATTTCTTATATGTGGCATTGAGAGGTCATAGGAGTCAGATTTCTATTAATAACTAAAAGTGAATGTTGATAACTTGATCTGAACCATTTCTCAAAATCAGTATTTCAATGACTCAACATCAGAGTTTATAAAGTGGGTTAGGCTGAGAACTTTTCAGCACTCCCTTGGATAAATGAATATTGATTTAACAGTTTGCAAATTAACTGCCTTAAATCAGTCATGTTTTTATTTTTCACGCATTTGATTAAAACTAGGTCAAGTGTGCCTTTCATATAAACAGGAAGTGTTTGTTATTTTCCTCTTTCATGAATACTTTGGATAGATTAAAAAAATAATAAATTTATATAAATTTGGAATTATCATAGCTTTGTTTTCTATTTTTAATTTACATTTAATTTACTCTCACCAAAGGCAGTAAATTATGTGTATTAATTTAAAAGTTTGTTCTTCATCAATTGAGTAAACAAAATAATCACAATTGAGATTCCAATTTCAAGATTTACCATTTTAATCCCTCCCCATTCTAGCCTTTTGCTTTTTTTTGCCTTTCTCTTTATAGAATATAGTGAGATATAAATTAAAAAAGAATGTTTGATAATATAAGGAGGGAAACGTAAACCCTAGAAAAATACTACATTCCAGCTTTCTCTACCAATCCTACTTTTTTGCTTTTAGTCTCTTACACACACACACACACTTGCCTGGCCATTTATCTTAGTAACTGCAATTTATTGCGAGTGTGTAGATAACTTAAAAAGCATTGGACAGATAATTATCCAGAACTTTCTTATCTCAAGCTCCCAAGGGAGATAGGACAACATTAAACCAACCTCCAACTTAATGTTCAATCACAAATGAAATCAGATTCTGCTAATTAAGATAAGGTTTAAGATTAATATTCTTGTGTCTTGATTTTAAAACATCAACTTACTTCTCTTTAGGGACTTATAATGGAATGTAAAACTAGATCGGAGCATAAAAATCAACTGATAAATATTGAAAATAAATAAATGTTGGATTTTCCATTAAGATAAATTTTCAAAAGTATCACAATGTAAATGTTCAATAAATCTATATTGAAAAAAAAATGTTCAAATTTGAAACAGAATGTAGAAATAACTATTTTAAACATGCAATTAAAAAAGGCATTTAAAAATGTTCATGGATAAAATTGAAAACTGACATGTCTTCTGTATTGTCTTCCATATTGTCTTCTGTATTAAATTTTGTGCTTAATTTTTTTCTAAGTTTATCAAAGATTATCTCCAAGGAAAATTTCTCACCTGCAACAAAATAATTAACACCTTTTGATTTGTTCTCTTGAAATTTCCTTGATGAATTGTTGCTATTTCCAGCTAGAAATCAAAACAAAAAATAAAACATCAACACCTTGGTCATATAATAAAGACAATTCATAAAAATAGACCAAACATAATACAATTTTTTCCTTCATCTCTTTTGACATGTAACAAAATATAATTATGGGGTGGGGGCACCTTTCAAATTTCATTAAAACCAAAAGTTCACTTTTTAAAAATTCCAACAATGTTTGACATAAAAATAAATAGTAACTATTTTTTTTAAATTTACTTTAGTCTTGTTTCTTAAGTCTTGTACTTCAAGAAAAGTATTTTCAAGAACTAAAATGATTTCCATAATCTTTAAAAGAAATAATCAATTTTGAAATCTAAATTTTTAGATACACTTATAGAAATAAGTACATTTATAAAAATAATAAAATGAGAAAAATTTCAATTACTTTGCATAATTAAATGCAATTGTTGAGAGAGACATCCTTATAGGCACATTTAAATCGCAAATATGATCTTGCAATATTATTGTTACTACATTTCACTGTAATTAATGACAACTTTTTAGTGTTATCGTTACAAATCCTGTTTTAGCAACAAGTCTTTATTATAAATAGAAAATAAACAGCAAATGACACGGAGTAGAAATAACATTCATGTTTAAGAAAACTTAATGGATGTAATATTTTTCAAGTAATGTTTTAAGCAGGAGTATTACACAAAAGAAGATATAAATACTCAATACAAATTAAACATTTACAAGAAATCTTTATCAATCATGCAGATTCTTTAAAATGAAGACAATTGAATACATTCCTATAAAGTTCCTTTGAAAAAATACAAGTCAAAATTCAGTTATTGCATATGACTTAATACAAAAACTGTATTCTTTGTTGGATTTAAATCTGTTAATGAAGTGTGTAGCAAAAGGTGTATGCAGTGAATGTAGAAAAAAATCAAGTCTTAATATAAGTTTTACATAGTGAGAGTGGCTTCTCAAAAGAACATTTTGCAAAAGTTAACAGAAGTGGATCAGTGAGATGATTAAGTCACATCGATCTCGTAAATATACTATTTGGCACAAGTTCTTAATCAGTAAGATAAAAAAATGAATTTCTTTTAAAATTTTAATTATACTGCTGAAATTAATTATTCAAAGAAATTTGTTTCATTGTCAGTTCTCATCAATGTAAGAATTTGAATGTTCTAGGTTTCATGATGAGAAAGTTATTTATGAAGGTGTAACAAAATTGTGACTAAAATAATCTGGTTACAGCATCTTTCAGATTCTGACTGCCTGTAATATGGGATCAAAATGGCCAAACTGTCTCTTAAATTAATTCTGGCAACCAAACTCATTGTTTATCTCTTATTTCAATTTGTGGAGATTGTGTGCGCGTGTATGTGTGTCTGTATATACTTCAAGCAAAAACAGTCGCTTCTGTTTAATAAACATTTTGCAAAATCTACAACACAAAGATCAGTAAAAAACATTACAAGTTGTCACACACACAAAAAAAAAGTTGAAGCTGGATTCCACATGATTAATGTGGTAAGAAAATATAACAAAATAGGTTTTCTTTGACACACTTCTTGAAGAAAAGGGATCATTTGTCAAGATTAGTTTTTTTTTTTATGACTATTATTCCGAGGAAAAATATTTTCAAATGACAACACTTTCAAGTAAAATAAGTGCCAATATTGGTGGATTATAAATTGAGTGAGTTTTCTGATGGCAAATGTTTTTAGAAAGTTCTTTTTCTCTATTGCAGCAAATAGTTCAGTTACTTGTGTTACCATTTCAATTCTGATGGATGGAGATGGAAAATGCATAATGAAATCTATTATTTTTTTTATTTACATCACTTAAACTAAGGAAAGTGGTTAATAAGCTTTCAGAAAAAATTTTGTGCATGACTTCACATCTGAGTTTTTTTATTTTTTGTAGAAATTGAATTTCTTCAGTTGCGGTGGATTATTCAGTTGTAAAATAAATATTTAAAACATTTCACTTAAATTAAATATAAATATAAAAAATATTTGATTTAAATATTTTTTAAAAAATATCTGAAATTTCATTTTTTTACCATCAAATATTCATCAGTTTTGCTTTTATTATTTGAGGTAAAAAAAAAAAAAAAGCGGAGATATTGATTTTATGTTTGAAACAAAATTTCATATAGTGAAGTGGCTCCCTTAGACTTCTTTAACGTCATATTATACTTTTCGGGTATATACATCATATCCTAAATTATGGATAAGAAGATGGAAACCCAAGCAATTTTCCCCTTGGGTGATCGTATAAGAAGCGCGAGGACGATTTTTTGTTGATCCACATCATGGTGCCACTGTAGTGTAGAATATCTGTGGAAATAATGCAAAAAGAAGGTGCAACTAAAAAGTGGCACGAATTATTATACAATTCTTCTTATCCTGAAGGAAAGTATGGGAAAGGAAAAACATTACTACTCCAACTGCTTGAAAACACGTTTTCCTGTTTCTGAACGTTTTGGGCCTCAGTCGAAATATATCCAGGAATTCGTTTCTGGTACAAAAAAAAAAGTATTATTATATCCGACAGTTTTTTTTATTTGTTATTTTATGTAAACAATAGGAGACCAGGTAAAGAAGAAATGTAAGGTGCGCCATTCCAGTGGCACGCACGATTTCTTTCGGACGTTACAATAGACGACCCCACTTTTTTTTCTTTTTTTTTTTTTAATTGCCGACGTCAGTTTATTATTGAATTCATATTTTGATTAAAATATTTTTTCGCTCAATAATTAACAGTGTTTTTTAAAATCCAAACATTAAAAAAAAATAATGAATAAAAACGCCTATTTTTTCAAAAGTGTGTTTTTTTAAACTGTTTTTCTTTCTCCAAGAAAAAAATAGTTTTAGTTTCGTGGGTTGAAATTAAATTTGAAAAGAAATCCAAAAATAAATATTTTTTATAATCAGATTTTTTATGACAAAAAATAAAAACTGCAGACGATTTCTTTTAGAATTTTAAAGTTTTTTTTTTCTGTAAATCTTCGCGATAGTCTTGGAGGATTTTTTTTTGTTTAATAAAAAGATTCAATTAATAATAAATAAAATAACATTTGCTTTTACGATGATTTTATAAATAAATGCAACAAATTAAATTTTTTGTCATCGTAAGTTTTACTTTTAATTATTTTTTTTTAAATACTTAATTCAAACATTCCCAAAAATGAAGTTAAAATCAAATAAAAAAATTAAAAATATTTGTGTTAAAAAACATTCCCGGAAAGAATTAAAAGTGAAAGAAAAACATACAAAAAGAGTTTAAAAAAAAAAAAAAGGGAAAAAAAAGAACCTGTTTTAATTTTACTGACCAATTTTTGTCTGTGTCGTAGTAAAAAAAAATCTTGACTTAAAATCTTCTTCGCAAGTCAAATTCTGCGGGTTAATAAGATCGAGTCCATTTGAGGCTGAACTCAAACCGCCAATATTCGTTATGCCATCTAATAAAAAAAAAAAAAAAAAAGCAAAGAAAAAGAAAATCAAAGAGACGTGACTACTGAGAAGCCTTTTTTGGGTAAATGCTGAACAACTCTGGATAGTAAAAATAAAAAGTGGGTGGAGGAAGTTTTCGACAAGTAGAGAAAACCAAGAAGAGGCGCGGCAACCCAAACTGAGCGCCCCCCTCCTCCCCGTCTTCATCTGTCACCATCATCGCCGACTTTTCATTTTGACGTCAATTCTGAACGGAAGAAATTATGATAGTTACTTCTTATAAAATTAAATACAACATTTTAACGGAATTAAATATAATTATGGAATAAACGAAAAAAAAAAGTTATTTAAGTCGCTTGCAGAGAATTTAGGTTACCGTTACAGACTTTTTTTTTTTTTTTTTTAAATATTTTCTTTGGTGACAAGCTTCCTGAGTTGGAATCTCCAAAATAAACTCTGGTCACAACAAAAACACCATTTCCTGTTTTATTCAAACTCGCTTCATACTTGATTTTGGAGCAATTTCTTTTTCTAAATAAAGCAGTATTTTTTTTTTTTTTTTTGTTTTTAAACATTCATTGCATTACAATAACACTCAAACAAAAGTTTTAGTTAAAAAGTTAAGTGTGATAGAGACTAAAAAAAGACTGAATTTATTTAGGCATTTAATACTTTGCTGAACTATCTCGTTAACCATTTACTCCATGGGCAGGTGGAATAGTTATTTACTTCTTTTTTATGTACCATGTCCTTTCACAACTTGGGTGATCATGACTCTCCACAACTTCTCATCTTATTGGTCTAAGCAACTCTTACCTCTTTATCACATCTCTGGTCTTTATTCTGCCATCCATTTACTCAGCCAGGGGTTTTCTTTTCTGCAATATGTCCTGTAAGCATTACATTTTCCTAGCCATCTTTCTTCAAAAGTTTTAGCTGTCTCTTTCTGATTGATTGCATTTATTTATAGTTTTTGCCTCTTTAAAACTTTTTTGTTCCTCACATTTTATTTCTTGATATTCTCACGTCCTTTCTCTGTCTGTGAGGAAATTGTTGTTGCTTATAAAATTGTCATTGTTTTATGGAAATAGAGAAATAAATAAAAAATATATAACAAGATCAAAATTTCATTATCCCTAAAAATAGACAGATAATAAAAATTGCCAGACAAACAAAGCCATAGTCTGACCCACCAATCAGAAAGCTTTCACAACCAGGATATAGGCTGCAAGCCAATTAGATGCAGAGCACCTTTTTAAAGCTGATCTATAGACGTGTATATAAACAGATGGAAAATAAAGTAAAATCAGATTTGATAAATTAGTTTTGTCGATTTTCTGATGCTTTTTCATTACAACATACCGAGAGACAAAATATGATATTTGCACAACTAGCTGGTGATCTTAGATAGCTAACCTATTCTTGCTGCATTGTAAACAAACATTACATCCTTCACTACATGATCAAGCAGCAGCTACAATATTTGGAAACAAATATTTACTTCCTCCCGGATTTTTTCTCAGTCTCTATCTCGCTTATACATCAGGAATTATACACTTGAACTCTTGAAACTTCAATTTTTACTTGATCCTTCTGTATTATATTGTGTATATAAAAATTTATTTTGTATTTATCAACACTGCATTTTCTCTTAATTACACAAGCATACACCCAAATCTATTATACCAATATATAGTAGGAACAGATATTGTCATAAGATAAACAACTCATTCATAACTGATAATTTCATATTTACCATGGTTTTCCAGTTATTTACTAAAAGTCCATTGTGAGAATCAAAATCACTAATAGAATGACACGGAGTCTGTGAGGTGATTAAACATTAATTCTAAGCAAAAAAAGGATTAAGCCCAAAATGAAATATAAACTGGAATGTAGAGAGATAGAAAGAAAGCATGGAAGACATTTTCCCTGGTAATGTGGAAGTGAAGAAAGGGACATCTGGGTGTGTGTCACCCCTACAAATTGGAATGATACACAGAGTTTTTTTTATCCATCAAAAATCTGGCATGTAGGTAAAGCAAATTGGATAATCACTATCTCTTTCTTGAGAAATTAGAAAAACACATGTCATTGGCAAAAAGAAAGCAGTAGGGAATTATATCTTTATTAGCAAATACAAATTGAGAAATGAAAACAGAAAATGAACCTGCTGCAAGGGTTAGGATTATGAAAATTGATCCATTATAACAGGCAGGTTATCTGATTTATGTTTTCACTAAGAGGGTGATCAGCCCAAGGATGGAAAACAGTATATCTCTGTGTTGAGAATTTAGGTAAACAAATATATTTTCATTGACAAAAATAAATTGGGAAATAATTTTTATCTATCGCTTGGAAGGTTAAAATGAGAAAGTGATATGGTTTGTGTTTTCACTGGACAGGTGGGTCCAGGAAAGGGAGTTATAGAATTGAAATTAATGAGGAGAATAAACCATGCTCTTTCTCCTACACACTTTAAAAATGAGATTTGTCACAAAGACAGTTATGCCAGCCCTGAAAAGTAGGCAGAGTTAGAATACAGAGAAAGAAGTAGGAGGGGGCAGAATTTAGCCCCGCCTGTGCAGGGTAGCAGTGCAAGATGTGAAGTGAAGCAAGTTGGAGTTAAACAAGGAGCAATCCCTGTGACTACTCCCAAGGAAGGTGGATAATAGATAATTCTCCAAGTTTGGAAAGTTGATTAAGAAGGCAGAAACAGGAAACAAAGAAAACCTTTATTGGAATTAATGAAAATTGGGGATCACTGAATCCCTAGAAACCTTTGGCCCCATGCCAGTTTTGGGTCAAAGTTCATATGACTTTGGTGAGCTTGGAGACTTTGGGCTGAAAGCCCACATCAAGTGCCTCTGAAATTCACAACAGCTGCCACCAGATTTCCTGATTCAAAGACTTTGAACCCAAATTTCCAGAAGTTTAGACTGTGTGTAGGTGGTGGTGAAAGGTGTTATAGTAGTTTGTTTGATTAGCTTGAATGCTACAGTAGGCACCTAAAATATGGAACAGAAATGAATTTGGTATATCCTAACTTAGCCAGGAAATTTCAAAATAGAAATGCTCTATAATGGAACTCTTGAAAGCAAAAATAAAATCTAATGAAAACAGTGAATGATAATAATTAGGAAAATGCTTCGTTGTGTCTTTGTTGTGTCTTTCATTGACTTATATTCAATTTGTGTCATTTTGACCAAAGCATAAAAATATCTTTATTTAAATCTTTTCATTTTTTTTTATTAAACAAATATCAAATAATCACAAAGATCAAGAAATTAAATAATAGACAAAACTATTTTTGGATCCTTTATTTTTTTTAAGAGGGGAAGATAGGTAAGCAACTGACATACTATCAAAACTGTTTGTGTATATGTGTCTATAAAGATTAAGTGCTCTTTATTTTTCCTTTTGGAAGATGTGTGCTATGCATTTGTCCAAGTTTGAGGTTGTGAAAATTTGTCCTTGTAATGATTTCCAACTCATCCACTAAGCAAAAGTAAATGAAAAGAAGAACACAGTTACAGTATAAATCCCAAATTGGTATATTCCATAAATTGTTGAGGTGGTTTTATAAAAAGTTTTTGTTTTTCTTATGAAGACAGTTTTTCTGTGAGAGGAAATAGGCTAGACACAGGAAAATTTCTTAAGGACTCCTCTATTTCAACTCTGTTAATCCAAATCGTACTTGGACTGACTATTTCTATTGGCTACTTGATAGGTTTTCTTTTATTTATACATGGCATGTGGATGAGGTAGCAGACATGAATACATTTGAAGATTTAACAGAAAAATGTTTGGCTTTATTGGAATGTGTGTTACAACACTTTTAATAACTGTACCTGTTTAAAAACTGACACTTAATAATTTGATACAGGTTTTAAATGCTCTGTCATTTTTATTTTGATGAAACTGATCAATGAAATATGTTCTGATAATGTGTTTACTAGAATATGAATCCGTCTAATTTGTTTGTTTTGCTAAATCTTAATTTATATACTATTGTATACTAAATTAGGCCATTTTATTATTTATTCCTTCCTCATTTCAATACATATTTTTTAAAACCAAAACAATTCAATAAAAATAAGTTCTATTGAGAATTGGTGCTTGCATAATATAATAAAACATTTTATTTCAGATTTGATAGGGAAAAAATGTACAATATTTTTTTTTTAATTTTCAGTATGATTTTGAGATACTTTTGGTTACTCATTACAAAAAAGATCTTTTTGATGTGTTTGAAGAATTGAAAATGTAAAAGTTTAGTGCCATTTTTGCATCAGAAATATCTTACTTTCTTTTTGCAGGTGTTAAATTATTTTTGTACAGAAGATCAAATAGTAAATAATTTCCTAAATTCTGAATGATCTTCCTATTGTTTATACAAGGTTAAAAATAATTATGTATGATGCCTGGAGGAGTTTAGAATATTTTATAACCTTGGTAGCTGAAAGAAAGCAAAGTGAAGGTAACCAATAAACAGTGTCAATAAGACTTTATTAATTTTCTGTTTTTTTTTTCTTTTATAGCAATATTTTCTTTTGTTTAGTAAATTTTCTGAAAATAATTAAGAAAGATCACATTTGGTGCAGTAAAATATTTTATGACATCAAATAGTTAAAAAAAGTAAATGCCAAATATTTTAAAAAATGAAAGAAAAAAGAAAGAAAAAAGAAAAAAAAAAAAGAAAGAAAAAAGAAAGAAAAAAGAAACAAAGAAAAAAAGGCAATGGATAAAATGCATTACTTCATATTAGTTCTTAAAAATGTTTTTATATTCCTATTAATAAAAACGTATTCTACTAAGTTTGAGGAAATTTATTAAAAGATATAATTTTATTTATAGAATAAAAAATATATTTCTACCTCATTGGTTATAAAAGGCTAAACAAGTTTCTGTATTTTGGCAGTTTAAGATTTTTGTATTTAATTAAATTTGAGGCATTTTTTTGAAAAATGGATGTTGTGGCAGTAACTATTTTTTGATCTATGAATCTAAAACTCTTTCTTTCTCCAATATTCATGGTATTCTTACCAATTTCTGTAGTGTAAAATCTTTTCTCTTGAAACATTCTCCTGATAACTAATTTAAATTCTTCTATGAATTCTCTGTTGCAGGTTATCCACATTGAAAAGATTCCAGGATACATATGCATGGCCTTGGTGATTACATCTCGGAAAATCTTCCATTGGCAAGGGAAATGTATCTTGAGTCCTCAGATGATTTTTTTGATGTACTTTCAAATTTCTTTATTGCACTCTGTTGGCTATCTCTTTTTCCTTTATTGCTCTCCATCTCAGAACTGCAACAAAATATCTGACAATATAGAAACGATTGGCTGACTATGGCACTCTCTCTCTCTCTCTCTCTCTCTCTTGTCCTCTGTGAACATTTTTGTGTTTGGTGATTATAATGCTCATCACATAAGTGGCTTAATCCTTCTCATGTTACTGATGTTGCCGATATTCAGTCAAATAGTGAATTTCCCTATTCATTTCCTCAATAGTTCTGAATAACATTCTTCCCTACTTGATTTGTTGTTTACCTCCTCTCCTAGCACTTGTTGAATACCATGTCTGTACTCTTGGCAATTTGAATCATGCTGTTGATATGCAGTCTATTTGACAGGAATGTCCTATTCACAAGACTTCTTTCTGTTAGCAGCAAGCTGATTGGGATTAATTTTGTGACATTCTTGAAGACTCCCCTTGGATTGATATTCTTAACCTTCCTATTGAGAATTGTGCCACAGAGTTTTTTTCTTGGGTTAAAGCCAGCATAGATGCTTTTGTGTCTTCTTAGAAATACTATCTTCTGTTCAACTGCTATAGCCCACAGTAATCACTTTTTGCTTGCTGTACCAAGGTGATAGTTTCAATCACAACAGACATCTCTTTATGTCTGCTCATAATAATTGTAAACATATCCTCAAAGAGGACAAGTCTTTGTTCATTGACAGAATAAGGTACTGTAGAGCATTTAACAAGTTTGGTTCTCATGACTATTGGTGGCTCTGTAATAGTGTGTTAAATAAGAATAAGTCTTCTATCCTTCCTCTCTTTACTCAATTTGAAGTGCTAATATCTGCTGATAAAGCATAATGTTTTGCTTGTAAATTCTCTTCCAATTCTACTCTTGATTCATCTGGAATATCTTTGCCTGAATTTCCACTTAGAACCAAGTCTCTATGGAGCAATATGCATATAACTCAGTCCATGGCCTCTATCATCTCAAAAGTAGATCCTCACAAAGCCTGTGGACTTGATGGCATCTCTGCAATAGTCATTAAGAAATGTGTTCCTGAACTGACTCCTGTTCTCTCTCAACTCTACAATAAATGCCTTGCTGTTTCCTGATTGTTGGAAATTGTCTTCTGTAGTTCCAGTCTTTAAGAACTCGGGCGAACAGTCTGGTCCTTCTATTGGCCTATTAGCCTTCTATCTCCTTTTGACAACGTACTAAAGGCTCTAATCAACTCTGAATTGGTTAAGCAACTCAACTTGCAGTGTTTTCTTACAGATAAGCAATATAGCTTTTGCTTCTCTAGGTCAACTGCTGATGTATTAATGATTAGTGCTGAAAGTGTCTATCAAGCTTTAGATAAAAATAGTGAAGCTTGGGCTGTTGCTTTGGATATCTTAAAGGTATTTGACAGGGTTTGGCATGCTAATCTTCTTCACAAGTTGAAAGGCTATGGTATTTCTGGACATATTTTTGAACTGATTCAATCTTTCTTATCAAATTGCAAAATGAAAGTTATCTTCTAGATGTTTTTGTGTTAATGCAGTTGTCCCTAGGCCTCTATCCTTGAGCCTATGTTGTTTCCAATTTTCATCAACAACCTTCCTGAAGTTCTTGACTTTGTATCTATGCTGATGACAAACTATTTACTTAATAGTAAATCTGTGCAGTTTGAGGTCAAATTGGCAGCTAATCTAAAAAATGACCAACAATCTGTTGCTAACTGGGGCAAAAAATAACTTGTTAATTTTAATGCATCCAAAACTAAACTGCATTCTTTTATCCGATAGACCATTTCTGCCTTCCATCAGCTGATACTAACTTCCAGGAAGATGACTCATTGTGCCTTTTTGGGCTAAGATTTTCCACTGACACAAAGTGGAAAGATTAAATTAAATCAATTGCTAGATCTGCTGCTAGGAAAGTTGGTTCACTGTGACATGCTAGAGAATTTTTCTCTCCAGAATCTATCTTACACATGTTTATCATTCATCCATCCATCTATATAATAAATGCAAATGTCAATGTGTTACAGTTTTTCAACTTTACCATTTTCCATTTACTCTTGAGTGTATATCTTTTATAATATTCAACAAGGGAATAACTAGTATTTAAACTTGTAGATCAGCAAATTTAGCAATATTTACATTCATAAAACACAATGTATATCCACATATTACACTATGAGGAGGTGCTGAAAAGTTCAAAAGAAAAAAAATGATTATTTGGTCAGATTAAGAAAGTAAGTTAATCCAATAACTTTACAGCACCTACTTTTGTCTATATATTCATGAGGGATAAGATAAAGAACAAATAGGTAATGTTTATCAGAGAATGAGATATAGAGAAAACTATATTTCATTCCCTGATGAAGCTTTAATAAAAGTAAAACATGTTAGATTGATAAACATTTCCTATTTGTTCTTTAGCTTATCACACACACACATATATATATATATATATATATATATCAAGCACACAATTCTCATTCTCTGATGAAGCTTTAATAAAAGTGAAACAAGTTAGACTGACAAATGTTTCCTATTTGTTCTTTATCTTATTCTGTCAGATTCCAATCTATATTTGATCCTAACTCATATTTGTGAGTGTAAAATAGACACTATGCTGATCCAATAACAGAAATACCACTTCATACTTAAATAATCACATCATTTTTGACAGGTAGCATACTAGTTAATAAATAATTTTTATTGAAAGGATTGTTTGTTACTGAAGGACAAGATGCTTTTGTAATTAATATTGAAATTTAATAGTTTATTTGGATGATTTTTTTCTTAGAACAAAAATGTATATTTACCAATGGTGCTATTACTAGTCAATTGCCTGAAGAGTTATTAGATTTTAGGTTTTATATTGTGTAACATTTTTTTTACATTTTATATTGAGCTCTCTAACTTTCACATTACCATTTTTTCACACACACACATATATATATATATATATATATATATATATATATATATATATGTGTGTGTGTGTGTGTGAATGCATTTCCTGCAAGTCATTAACACAAATTTTGGTGAGCAACAAAGAAATAAAAGTAAAAAAAAAAATTTTACAGACCATCAAAAGGCCAGCGTCCAGCCGTTGTGACAAATGGTTCGGTTATATCAGAAGCAATTGGACTTGAATTTCCTGGAATCGGAAGTCAAAGAATCATATTAAATATTTGTTTATATATCCAATGTAATGAATAATTTAACAAATGCATCAGTCACTTAATGAATTTTACAGACTTTAGAATAATGACAGTTTTTTTTTAAATTATAACTTTTGTACCTCACATTTTTCCTGACTAATTTCATTTGTTTCTTCATGAATATTCTCAAAGTAAAACTTTTTTCTTTTTAAAGTCCCCAAATAAAGTTTTAGAGCCAGTCATTCATAAACTTTCATGAACTAAAAACATCAATTAAATTGTTAATCTACAAGGCAGCCAACAAAAGAAAAGGAAATTCTACTTATTTTAAGCACAATTGTAGAGATTATCTAAATAAGTGTAAATTTATATACTAGCACCTTCTGTAAAGGTAAAATATGCAAAGAAAGCTAGCATAAAACAAAAGAAATAATGTATTAACAGCCTGATCTCCCCTATTTATTAATGAGATATGCAGCAATTAATACCTCCTGTTACAATGGCATTAGAATATTTCATTACTAAGAGGGGAGATCAAGTTATGTGGCCAAAAATATATATGGTAACATTGTGATTTATAGAATAGATTTTGGGATAATTTTTTAAGAAAGATATTGTGGGGAAGGTATGATGAGTTTATGTCATAAATGGCACTAGAAGATTTTGTAGCATCATTTTTTAAGATTATTTGAGAGAGCAAGTATTTCTTTTAAGCTAATCCTTGGAATCATATCCAAAACCGATAAAAATATCACAAAGGAAAAGATGCAAAAGAACACTTTATATAACATTCTTAATTTTTTTTATATTATAATGGTATTTACCGATTGTATGTTGAATTCCTAAAGAAGGATTTCCAGCATCAGAAAGTCGATTTTGATTATTTTCTCTTGTTGAAATTTTATTTTTCTTTTCTTCCAAAATTTCCAGGGCAGTTCTGTATCCATGTAAAAATTTGTGCAGAGTAATAGCAATTGCTTCTTTTCTTGATTGTTCTGATTTTCCCACCATTTTTTCAAGGGATTTGTAAGTTCGCAGCAGAGTCTTATCACTTTCAATCCTTCGCTGTAACTCTTTAGTGAGTTGACGAATGGTTTCTTCCTTTAGTGCCGGTTCAATGATTGCCAACAAAGACACATTCTGGAAAACACGATTCTCCACCTCTTCTTCTGAAATCTGTCAGTCATACACAAGAAAAAAAAAATATATTAACAAATGATACACAAAGAAAACTAATAATATTTTTTAAATTAAAAGTAGCACTGTAAACTATTATTAATTTTTGACTAATATTTCTTTCATCTTCATTTCTGTTATTTTTCATTTAACCATCAGTCTATGGCCACCAGCAAACTGCACAGATTAGAAATTTGTTCTACTGATAATCGCTGATTGTTGGCCTGAATAGCATTTATAAGATAACAAATAATAAGTAAAATTATTACTTACTCATAGGGTTTTAGATAGAATTCCTTGCCTAGCAAGCAGATAATCAAAGTGAGTTAGTGCCATGTGCACAGTTAGCAGATAACCAAAGGAATTAGCACCCTTGGCACAGTTAGAGAATTACTTCAGACCTGAGAAAGAGTTGCAATAAGACTTGTAGCAACAAAAGTCTAGACTCACATCAATGAGGAACTGAAAGATATTCCTAGATGGTAACCTACGACCTCACCTTAAAAGTAATAATCTTTTCAAGTACAACCATCACCTATTGTAAGTACTATGTTTGTCAGGTTTTATTGCTGTTTTGCATGGTACATATGTTTGGGAGCCTCTTGAGGCAGAAAGCCATTATAAAATAATAGCCCAACAGTAGTATTCTCTATTTTAATGAAATTTGCAGGATTATGAATATTACTGAGAAGACATAGGTTTTTCTTATGGCTGTTGACTCATTTAACTGACTACAACTATTTCTAACATATCAGCATACAAGTTCGGATAATTATTGCATTGACAATTTACATGGTTACACTAAATCTTACATGTGCATCACAGAGATATACATGAAAACAGTTTAAGCAAATTTTGGGAAGCAAGTTGAGCCGAGAACATTTCATTCTCTGTAATAAGCTGCTGATTTTTGTTTATTGAAAATGTTTTAGCAAAAAATGAATTCACGACATCATGCTATAGGCAACAATAAACTACAGAAGAACTCAAAACTGATCGCTGCATTTAAGTATTGCTTTAATATTACTTTTTAAAAGTTCAATAATACTTCTGCTGCCACATAAAGACAATTTGATGTACGTAGGTCCTTACTTTCCGTACAAACAATTATTTTTATTTCATGGGTGACTTTTGCTGGATTTTGCAATTAATTTCATTTGTTCCCAAGTTTATTTCCAAGTTATAAAAATTGTTATCATACAAAAAAATTTGTCACAAAAAATTACAAAAATATTCACCAAAAACAATTGCAGTAATAAAAACTTGGGAATCCATAATTTCAGGATTGCAGGTCTGGATTCAGCCTGGAATACTTTTAATTTGCTCACTGAATTGGTCTGGTTCCAAAATAGCATGATATGTTGGGCTATAGCCTCTAGGAGTACAGTTGAAAATATGGACAATTTTATTTTGAAACATTGTAATTTGAGAAGAGTAAATTTTTAATTTGAATATGAGCTATTGAAAGTTAGAGAATTGTGTCCCTTTAATTGTTTTTATCAGTAGAAGCCAAGATGGTGGAATCAAAAAACAATTGCAGTAATGAAAACTTAGAAATCCAAAATCTCAGGATTGCAGGTTCGGATCCAGTCCAGAATGTTTTCATTTGCTCACAGAGTCAGCCAGATTCCAAATTGGTATCATATATGTTAGGCTACAGCCACTAGCAGTAAAGTTGAAAAAGTGTGACACAGTGACACAATGACATTTGCATTTATTATATAGTTGAAAAGGCATTGAATGTTTGAGAGCTGAAACAGAAAAATATAAAATAAATTCCTGTTGAGGTTTAGATAGATGCATCTGGTCATGCTATCAATGTCATCTTAAATCAGGCTAGTTGACCAGTGGTTTTCTTTTTTTAGGATATTAAATGTTAGACAACAAAAAGTTCTCAGCAATAAGCAAACACCATTTTGGAGGCTTTGTGTAAAGTGGAGACACTACTTAATTGGCTGCTATTTTACTCTTCTTACTGATCAGAAACTTGTTGAATTCACCTTTGACTGAAAATAGACTAATACAATTAAGAAGAATGATAACATTTATGAAGGAGTGAGTTTGTAATAGTTTTAACAAAGTACTGCCTTGAGAGGGTTAACATTACCGCTGACACTTTGTCTAGTTCAGTCATAGAAAAACTAATTTTATAAGGAACATGGGGTTTATTAAAATTTTGTTTTAGTTAGTTCTGACTTGTTTACTTACACTCTCTCTCACTTAAAAGGAAAGCTGGTATCAAAGGGAAATAACTATAAAATAACCAACTTCCCATAGTTATTAACACTTGTGACAGTGTGGGTATAGTTCAGCTAAACTGCATACATAACATTAACAATGATTAAGTACGATGTTTCTTGAATGTTGTAACCTTTCATTTGAAGGTAATGTTTTCCTCATTTAAAATCATTGGCAGTTTTCCTAAAGGAAAATCATATATGTAAATATCTTTTGTTTAAAAATGGGAAATATTTATATTTTTTTCTCTGGAGAAGTAATATACTTTTTCTTTAAAAAAAAAAAAAAAATATATATATTTTTTGGTCAAATGAATAAATTACAAATAAATCACACGCAGTAGCATGTGTCATCAGTGATAATATTACACCAAAATTTCAGTTTTTAATTTTAGAAAATATAATTGTTCTCCAAAAAAAAAAAAAAAAAAAAAAAAAAAAAACAGAAAAATTAACTTTCCCCACCATTTCTAAGGCAGATAATTACATGCAGTCTTCTGCAGTGAAAATGGCTAAGATAGTTTTCAACAAAAGATTACCTTGAATATTTTACTTGTGTAGCTCATCTTATGATTAACTATATTTCATGTGGCTCACTGCTTGTCCACATTGGGTTGAAAACATACTATTCTGCTGCTGGTTCTCATGTTTTAGTTAAATTTTACAACTCTTTCTCATTCAAACATTACACAAAAAAACAACACTGTTCAAACAAGGAACCTACCATTCCCTATTGATGATGCAAAGAGAGTTTCAAGTTCATTCTCAATTTGTGCAAAGTGTAAAACTATTTATTGACCTGGTGTATCACATGTGATCAATGGAACTGTACCATTTAATAGAGACAGCATTTTGATTTAAAAAGCTCTTAACCATCAATTTTAACTAACCAAAACTTACTATAATAGACAAGTTCCCTCAGTTTCGTTTTGCTTGTGTTGCACAACATTTCAGCGTTTCAATCAATTATTTGCTATCTTTACTATGTCTGCATTCATGCAATCCAACATAACCACCTGGTGGTACTTCTTGTATAGCCATGGAATTTCCTTAAGACTGACCAGCCCTTATAACATTCAAGGCAACAGACTGTGTAGTGATGAATAAATGTCTGCCTAATTAGAATAGCTAAAGCATAAATACCCAAGAAGCAAACCCCATACCCTCTTTTCACTCCCTCTCCTGTCTCTGTTCTTCCTCATTCACTAATTCCACTAGCTTTGATGAGTAATATTGACCTTACAGATTGTGGTAAGACAACCTAATTCCCTCCCCTGTCTTATGATTTGTATAAATAAGTCACACCATCTTAGCCAAAACAGCAAGACTCTTCAGTCATGTTCAATAAAGGCACATTAAGCTGAACTAGACTCCAAGTTTTCATTACAATTTATTGAATGTAATTATGAACAAATACCTTAAATCAAAACATCTTGACTTGAACTCTGCAGACCCGTCTTCTACTGATGCCTGGAAATATTGGAAACGATTATTGAAAGGATTCTTGCTTTCACTGGAAAACATTTCATCCACTCCTATTACTGATATGGATAGACTTAACCTGCTAGTGCTCCACATTTCCTTATCCATAATTACCAATATTTCTCAGTGCAAAACTTACCAGAGTGCCATAGATATTTTGGATAGAATTTTTGTGAAGTGACAAAACAATCTTTGTCCAGCATGTATTAGCAACTACCCACCAATCCCCTGAAGAGGTGGTTAGAACAGTCCTTCAGCACTTAAAAATCTTAAATTGAGACTGCAACTTTCAAACAATGACAGCAGATCAAGCAAAGACAAATTTGTCTTTGCTGTGATCTGGTGGGTTCTCCTTATATAGATAACTCCCCATGCACAATGATATATCTAATTTCTCCAGCCCAACTATCTTAATCATAGGAGATCTTGTTAATAATCACATAGCATTACTTTGTTCTTAGAATTTTCTCCTCTCTCCATCTGTAAAGATAATGGTGTTTTGGGACAGACAACATCAACACAAACAAATCCCAAACTTGGGACTAAATCAAAATGCCTTCGTTTAAAAGAATTTGGCTCATTCTTTTCTGAAGAGATACACAAGTGTCGAACAGATTGTATAATGTAAACAAAACCCCAAACCTGAGAAAAAAAACAAATAAAACTGATGTCTTTCTTTGTCCAAAAGAAATTGAGTCAGTTCTTTCTGTAAGAAAACACATTTTGAACAGGTATTATGAATTTAATTTCTCAGGATAAAAAATTTAGACAACACATTAATCATGTCTTCTTCCTGGCTGATAGAATGGGAAACTTTAGTTTTGTTCAATTTTACTGAATCTTAGCTAATTAATTCTGGGTTTGATTCTCCTGGGACTCTGTAGTTTAAATAAGTCTGTATTGCTGCAACGTCACTTGTACAAATCACAATATCACTGGTTCAATTCACCATACTCGCTTTCTACACACATCACTACATATAGCCAACGTTTCTATCCCCCTTTTCCACAGCTCCAGCACTCTTATCATGCCAACACTGCGGTTCCCCAGCCAATCAGCGTTCTTCGCTGTTATTCTTGGTTACACAGGCAAATTGCCTCCTCCAGTTCGACCAATCAGCACACGACTTGCTATTGGTGGAAGCATGCCAAACTACAAAAAAAACCCTCATCACTGCACATACTGCTAGAATGGCTGGACAGGAGAGTAATGCCATTTTCACAAAGCAAACTTGATGTCACGTGCCGCACGTTAAGGTAAGACCCTTATGCAAACCACTCT